CAGGATTTGTCTTGCACCAGCATGTGTATTGTCAATGTTCAGGAGATTGAGATGATATCGTGTCATCCATCTTGCATACTTGTGACTGTTTAATTGCAAAGAACAGTGGACTAAGTTGTCCTTAGCAGTAAGTGAACAGGGCAAGATCACTGTTCTACAAGTTCTGCTGAACATTAGGCACAGATTGACCAGATCAATGTACATCATCTAGTAATGGGCTGTTTTAACATGAGTTTCAGATCGTGTCTCATTCAGGAACTGGTCATAGTCTTTGAGAAATGCAGTAACCTCCTCTGATTCCAAGACCTCTATCAGGGTACTTTCTAATGCAGATCCAGGAGTCTCTTCAATTCTGTAATGACATTTTGGGGAACAGAGTATTCTGTAATGACATTTTGAGGAACAGAGTAGTCAGACAAGAATTTCTTGAAGTGAAGTTCTTGAGAGGCATTTAGAATTAGGTATTCAAGTAAAATGCAAATATTATGAATGACAACTTCTTCTTTACTGTATGTCACAACGTTTCTGGGCTATTCCTTGCCCCTTCGTCAGGTGGATTGTAACAAACAAGGTACATCAATGAGTATATATACTAAATGTACAAGAAGCCAGTGTTGCAATAAATTGGATAAGAAACAGATGAAAGAGTGAGATGTACAGATAATGGGGATTGTTTATACAAGGGAAGAGTTTATACAAGTGATTATCAGATGTGGGTAGAAGCCAGTAATGACCTAATTGAATTCCTAGGCACTGGGGAGGTACACACCTTGATCCCTGTTCAGCTGCGGTTGTAATTGTCTTATCGTTGAAGACTCTAGTAGTTTGCGCTTGCGCCAATCATGGACATTAGTGGTTAATACGGTTGAGTGTTGCCAGTCAGTGGAGTGAATAGGGTTTTTGACGATGTGCTCTGAGAGACCTGATATATATTTGGTCCATTTTTGGTACGTATGTCAAATGGGCAGGATGTTTCACCTATGTATATGGAGCCACAATCACATTGCAGAATCAACATACCATGGCCAGATCAGTCACCACATCAGCCGTCTCATAAAGAAAACTACCAGCATCGACGTAACATTCCACTCTGATAAGACCCTGAAAACCATCCTGAGAGCCAATGGGCGAGTTTCCTCTACTAAGACCAAAAATAGACCCAGGGGATGCATATACAAACCGCACTGTGATTGTGGCTCCACATACATAGGTGAAACATCCCGACCACAACCTAAACACGACGGAAACCTAGAATTATACATAACAGAATTGAAATATCATCATTTGGTCCAGGCTTTCTGCAAATTTCGAATATCCCACAACAACTTCAAAGTCAAGAAATATTGGAATGGCAAGGAAACACCAATAACAGAATTTTACTGTCCACGCTGTGATACTCGGGAAATTGAAAATTAAAACAATGTTTTCTTCATATGTCAGAAATATCACCATATACGAGACGAATACTTCTCGCAGCTACAAATGTATATAATGGACAACTAACTAGTCCAGCCATTTTCAAGTCTAAAAACCGTCACGTAATCCACATAACTGCTTTTTTCCTTCACCATATCTACAGACTTAGAGCAACCTTTGTACACCGATATTGACCACTGTTAATTTATTCAAATGAATTGTAAACTGTCTTATAGGCCACTAGGCCCGCATTACAAACAAAACTGTCTGTCTGTCGGTCAAAAAATTATAACTTTGAATATCAATTCAGCTTCATTCCAATCCTATATAGAGATTCCCTCATGGGATTCTCAGGATATAGTGCTGTTGATCGGTGGGTTGTCTGGTCCAGACTCGATTATTTACAGACTGACGCCATATAGCTGGAATATTGCTGAATGCAGCGATAAACAACAAGCAAAACTTCAACTGGGAAACAATCCCGGACGATATGTAAATAGTCGCAAAAAATAAACCACGTTACTGGTGTCAGTTGGTGTCCGTCTTTTCATGTTGAACATGTTGCTACCTGTGGTCAGTTTGTACACCTCCACACCTATCATGTGGCACGAACGAACAAAATATGTCCCTCAACGTTTGCAATTTCTGCAAAGATAATTTCCGTCACATTTGGTTTTCAACTTTACATTTACAAACGACAAATTTCAGGGAAAGTCTAAATCCTTGTTTTATTCATAACCACGGTGACCATAGATACGGATACATCTATGTATCCCAAACATTCACCAAATTTGTTTTTGAGGATAGTCAACATTGGGTTTTCTTTCGCACTAACGTTCTGTATTTTGCTGTACCGCTATGGGCTGTTTCACCAGACATTTCTCCGATGTTTGGAACGACAGGACCATAATTAGCCGGTAAAGCTAGTTCAGTTGAGCCAATCATTTAGTTTACATTTTTATCAACACAAGTTGGTATCTTTAATGCGCCGATGCCTTCCCGCCTGTTTATGATGTATCAAATGGTGCTCACATTATGATCCCCTTGCAGGAAGCGATATTCGCTGTACGTCGATTGTAAGCCTAAATTCCAAATTGCACTCAGGAATATTCCAGCGATATGGCGGCGGTCTGTAAATAATGGAGTCTGGATCAGCCAATCTAGTGATCAATAGCATGAGCATCGATCTGCGCAAATTGGAACCGATGACATGTGTCAACCAAACCAGCGAGCCTGACCACCCGATCCCGTTAGTCGCCTCTTACGACAAGCATGGGTTACTGAAGGTTCATTCTAACCCGGACCTTCACGGGTTTGAAAAATTCAACTTTAGATTACCTAGTGACAGTCTTTTTAATTAATGGTTTTTTTATTTATATGTAGAAAAACTCAAGATAACCTTGGTGGGTAGTGTGCTAGGTCCAAAGTAATTTTTAGAATAATTCTTTAAGCTACCAACTGTGATAGTATTATCCTCGATTAACTCAATGAATTTCTATAATAAGTTAATTGTATAACATATCTTATCTCTCTCAGATTAACAATGAATCTGTAGGTCTTGGTTAACGTAATGTTTAAAATTTTCAAAATGAAGACATAAGCCAAAAGTATTACAGATTTAAAAATATGAATGCAGCAAAGATGGATCGGGTGATCCTGGCACCGTCAGAATGGATCAGCTCATTATCAGCTCAGGGCCCTTTTCCCTTGCGAATGGGACTGCTTCCAAGAAGCGCTGCCAAGTTGAACCCACCAAGAACTTTCTGGAGAATATGTAGACTCCCCAACACCAAAGCCTGCTGTATTACCTAGAGTGTCAGAAAGGATGCGGACCCGGTGAAACCACGGCATACTATTGATCTGGTGAAGAGATTAGAAGGTATCAAACCAAGAGCACCGTGAACAATGGGGAGTCGTTCAACTTCGTACTTTGGATGCAAGCATGAGGTTTCATAAGCGAAGTAGGTATAGTTTTTTCCATTATTATTAATTATTAATTGACTATAAAGGAGTTGGATAAAGGACAAATGGCAGTTACAGGGAGCTGTAAGGAGCTGGAGAGATGACCAGGGATCACGGCGTGTATGTGATGCGACAAGAACGGGTATTTGTCAAATGGATCGTTGTACGATCATTATGTAGTGAATCCCCCCAAAGTGCTTGGACAAATGCCCATACCCTACGTCGCATACCCTCTTCAGTCGTCATATCCGTTGCAGAGGTAACTGTCGCCATTCTTCCAACTCACGCATATTTGAACAGGCTTTACATCTGTTGCTTGTATCCGTCGCCCGATAAAGTCCCAAATATGCTCCTGGGGGTTAAGCTCTGGAGTCATGGGCCCTCAACCGAAGGTGAGTAACTGAATTATTCTGACTAAAAGCTGTCAATGCACGAGGAGGTGTGTCCTTGCGTAACCATCTTGAATCCTGGATTTATAGCAAGAGGATGACAGGCCAAATGGGTGACAACAGCTGGAACCAGCATATCCTGGTTATACCGATCACCCGTCAAATTCCCACGTATTGTCACCAAGCCAAGTTTACAGTCATGAGTCACAAATCTCCGAACCATGAAGGAACCTCCACCAAAGAAAACAGTTGTGTTTTTCCCGCAAATGCGGTATTCCGCTGCTTTCAAACTCTTAAGCATCCATCAGTTACACGAAGGAGCAATCGGTTTTCATCAGACCAATGTATTCTTCGCTGAGCTGAGTCCCCGATTCGCTCAGTACAGGAAGTTTGATGTTTGATTACCCACCTCGAGTTGTTCCTGGCTCTCCTTAGGCGATTCCGGACTGTTTAGGAAATGGTAACCAGTAGTGCTTCAGAACAGTGTTTCTGGAGGCTTCTTGTCATCGAGTGAGTTACAATAGTGCCCTACCTTCAGGATCTGGCGTCGCCCAGAACGTGGGCGATCGTTCACCTCATTAGTTTCCCTGTAGTTACTGACCAAAAGACTGACAATTGTGTAGTGGATATTCATATCCTAATCAACTGCTTTCAAGGACATACAAGAGTTATGCACGCCAATATTTTGGCATCTCTGGACATCTGATAACTGTCTTCGTACCATAGTAACAAAAAAAACCTGATTGCATTGTAACCCATTCAGATCAAATACCAACATGTGACACATGCACAAACAGCATTTGAGAAAATTTGTGGATTTGCTTCAGGACATGCTCCAAAGGTGTTCTGTCAGCTGTCAAAATACTCAGGGGTGCTTAAGTTTTTTTTCCAGATGTATATTCGTCACGATATGGCTGCGATATTGCCGATGTGACGTTAAATATTAACTCACTCACTCCAGGTGTATATTTCACTTAGTGTATGAGTTTTTAGTTTTAGGATGCTTTTAGCAATATTCCAGCATCTCAAGGCAGGGGACACATGGTCCCCATGTGGGGAATCGAACCCAGTATTTGGCCTGATGGATAAACACTGGAACCACTATGCTAAAACAACGGCCAGCTTGATTTTGTACACATGTGCTAACGATTCCATGAAAATCATCCTACTGGACATCTCTAGGGATGACATCAGCAACAAGGTAAAGGGGCCAGTAAACAAACAAATTCAAAATAAAACACAAACTGTTTAATCAACAAAACTTTAGTTTCGATTGATCACACTTTCACTAACACACATGAACATGTTATTCAGGACATCCTCAAGGTGCTCAATAACAGGCTTTATACTAACAACACACTTATCACTAGAATATTATGCTCAGATCAACACACATTACTACCATTATTATAAACAATCTTTCAACATACTTAGTTAACTAATAACAACAGCTGACTCCCTATCATGACTCTGCGACTACATGTCATATTTTTTAGAAAAGTATTTTTATGTTTTATACATTCCCTCTCTGTGTGAAGTTCTGATCCCTTCATAGAAGATCTTGTTAGACTCACAGTGAACCTTTTTCTTTTTTTTTATTATAGGATATTTATATAGCGCACATATCCACGCACTAGTGCATGCTCAACCTTGACTGCCCAGTGTAACTGAAGGATGCTTGGACTCTTGAGCCAGATGTCAACTTTCTAAAATTATTTGATTTAGTTAGGTTGTCATCTACTTTTACAAAAATCAATTAAAGAAATGAAAACCAATACAGCTATATGGCGGCAGTCTGTAAAAAATGGAATCTGGACGAGACAATCCCATGATTAACATCATGAGCACTGATTTACACAAATATTATTTTGTTTGTACTTCTGCTATGAGTAGATACATGGTGCTCAGAAATGACCTTGTGTGTACATATTCACAATATTTTTCATCTCATTATTATTTACATTTGAAGTGTCTGTTTTTCAACTCACAGAAATTAGATATCTTTCTGTGAAAGCTTGACTTACTCCTACTGAGAATTAATAAGAGTTCCCACTGACTGGCTGATCACAGCATTTATCTTACATGCTTTCCTTATGAGGGATCAGCTCTTCACATAATGAAGTGCAGCAACAGAGTAAAGCAGGGCTTGATTTAAGATTTGAATTTCAAGATTTAACTTGCATCAGGTTCATGTGGCCATGAACACCATGTTGCACCAAACAAAAACAGGTTGCACCCTTGGCCAATAAATCTATCACAGTTAAAATATAGGCCAGTTTGCACATGAGTGTACAAGTGAGTGAGTGACGAAGGTTTTACTCTATCTTTAGTAATATTCCAGCAATATTATGGTGGTGGACACCAGACACTGGCAATGTGATGAATAGAACCTGCGCCTCGGAGGTGATGAGAGAATGCTTTAACCACTTGGCTACCCCACCGCCTCCATAGCTGCACGTAATATTAACAAGAGAACTCATGAGTGAGTTTAGTTTTACACTGCTTTTAGCAATATTCCAGCAATATCATGCCAGGGACATGTTGGGAATCAAACCCGGACCTTCGGTGTGATGAGCGAATGCTTTCACCACTAGGCTACCCAACCACCCCACAATCATGACTGACTGACTGAGTTTGGTTTTACGCCGCTTTTAGCAATATTCCAGCAACATCACGGCGGGGGACACCAGAAATGGGCTTCACACATTGTACCCATGTGGGGATTCGAACCCGGGCCTCGCGTGACGAGCCAATGCTTTAACCATTAGGCTACCCCACCGCCCCACAATCATGAAGTACCGAGAGTTTGAAAACATGACAAATTACACATACCACAGGGTCTACTGTTGTAGTTTGGAAAATAAACGTTAGGTGTATTGAGGGTGTCCAAAGATAAATTTTGTTTGGATAGAGTTTACAGACATAAATTTGAAACATTTTACAGGCACATGGGTCATGAAGACATAAAATATTAGATTGTTTTATACAAGTAAATCGAGCCCTGTTTTAAAGACATGAGATTTATCAATCCGTTAACACTCTTTCGAAATTAAATGAACTGCTTCTCACACTTTTAGTGTAGTTATGACTAATAACACAAATAAAGTTCACAAAAAACAACTGTAACACTTGTATCCATGACAACACAAACATCGCTGACTTCTCAGTCACCATTTATAAGTCGAGAAAACATCCTCCTTTTTCAATTAAATTTCGAAAATATTGCAAAGTAGTAAAATTACCCTGATGTCATTGTCTACATTTTGGTCTGATAAATATTTACTTGAAGTTAAACAAGATTTAAAATCGAACCACCTTGGACTGATACATACACATTGTATGTGTATATGGTATTATGAATATTACAATAACACAAAATATAATAACACAACATAACAGTTATATGATTGTTTTACCCAAACATTAAGAAAACATACAAGTTAGTTTAACACTATTGTCATGAAATTAAATACACCAGTATAAAAAAGGTAAAATATACACCCAATATGATGAAAATATAACAAGTGTTGGATTGTCTTGATGGGGGTAAGGTGGGTCGGGGGTTGGGGTGGGGATGGAACCGGTTGTGGTTTATGTGGGGGTATGAACCGGATGAGGTTGTTGTGGGGTGGGCATAGGGTGGGGTTGATGTAGGGCTGGGGATAGGGTGGGGGTGAGGATAGGGTGGGGTTGATGTGGGGCTGGGGACAGGGTTGGGTTGTGTGTGGGGTGAGGATAGGGTGGGGTTGATGTGGGGCTGGGGATAGGGTGGGGTTGATGTGGGGGTGAGGATAGGATAGGGTGGGGTTGATGTTGGGGTGAGGATAGGATGGGGGTTGATGTGGTGGTGGGGATAGGGTGGGGTTGATGTGGGGCTGGGGATAGAGTGGAATTGATGTGTGGTTGGGACAGGGTGGGGTTGATGTGGGGGTGGGGATAGGGTGGGGTTGATGTAGGGGTGAGGGATAGGCTAGGGGTTGTTGTGGGGGTGAGGATAGGGTGGGGTTGATGTGGGGGGGGATAGGGTGGGCTGTTGGGGGGTTAGGGATAGGGTGGGGCTGATGTGGGGCTGGGGTGGGGATGGGGTTGATATCGGGTGGGGACAGGGTGGGCTGATGTGGGGTTAGGGATAGGAAGGGGGGTTGATGTGGGACTGGGGATAGGGTGGGATTGATGTGGGGTTGATGTGGGGCTGGGGATAGGGTGGGGTTGATGTAGGGGTGGGGATAGGGTGGGGCTGATGTGGGGGGGGTGGGACAGGGTGGGGCTGATGTGGGGCTGGGGTAGGGAGGGTTGATATGGGGGTCGGAATAGGGTGAGGTTGACGTGGGGCTGGGGATAGGGTGGAGTTGGGGGTCAATGTTATGGGTCAGTGATTATAAAACGGTGTGCCTTTAGTGAGCCATTATTTCATGAGCTTAGTCACCCAAACACATGCAAATACAACACATGCTGTCAAGTTGAATCTGAAACAAGAAATCATCTCTACCTGAATGTGGATCATCAGTCTGAATGGAAACATGGTGACAACCAGTTTTAATTTATGCCAAGCAGTTTCTGTAGGTACTTAATGTAAATTTATTCAGATGGAAACTTGACATGTATTACATTTACAATAATTTCTTTTAGTTGTTAAATGCTGAAATGATGAAAGATGGGCCTGATTGTTGTTGCTCATTACCTGATTAAAGAAAATAAAGAAAATGAAAAAAGATATTACAGCATCAATACAAAACATCCTATACGACAATCAATCAAAAACGGGAAGATAGACAAGAACACAAACATAATACATGTATTAGGTCAAAACAAACTGACCCCTTGTTCCAAGGTAGTGTGTGAATGGATATACCCAGGGGTTCAAATTTTTTTAAAAGCCACTTGCCACAGGGCAAGTAACTTAAAGAAAGTAACTTGTCCTGACTAATTTTCCACTTGCCCTGATTTTATGACATAATTATGATGATGTAATTATGAAAGAATAAATTAACATGGTATTTGATGTTAAAGTGATAAATAGCAAAGAAAGATAACTCTACTTTATTATCATTGCAAAATTTAATAGCTACATTTTGAGCAGATATGAAATTAAATCCAAGTTTATTTGCAGTTTGAAACCATAAGTGGAAATTATCTAGTAGCCCACGGACAAGTAAGATACCATTATTTGATTGCCCGAAATGAAAACTGACTTGTCCCGGGCATCGGGCAATGGGATTTTTGAACCCATGCAAAATATCAAACAATCACCTAAAGTTTTACAGCTTTTTATGGTAATGTAACAAGTCTGGATACATGGACATATATATGGACGGCAATGTATGGACAAGTGTACAATGCTTTATTGCTACAATCTTTCAAACAGAAAACATTAAGATATCGTAACCTTGTGCCTGAGTGAATCTTACAACACTGTTATAACATACATACAGACTATCATCTTACTAGTGCCAGTCATTAGTGAAACTGTGTCTCTTAAAGGCAACAGAACCTTGGACCGATTCCACTTGTAAGTGAGTGAGTTTAGTTTTACTCCACACTCTATTCTAGCTATATGGCGGCAGTCTGTAAATATACAAGTCTGGATCAGACAATTCTGTGATCAACATCATGAGCATCGATCTATTGGGATATGATGACATGTGTCAACCAAGTCAGCGAGCCTGACCATCTGATCCCATTAGTTGCCTACAAGAATGGGTTACTGAAGATCAATTCTAACCCAGATCCGATTCCAACAAACTGATCATGGTACAACAACTGTCGTAAGTCTATGTTGGTAATATGATAGCATTGTGGAACATGCCTGACTCACAAAATCATTATCACCCGATTATGTGAAAGAAAACATGACAAACAAAAACTTAAAAACAGCTGATAAAACTGAATGAAAATGACAGAATTAACACAGAAAAGAGAGCTTGCCATTTTGTACTTCTCTATCATTGTGATACATTTACAATGTGATACGTTTGAACGACATACATTTTTCATCTCGAAGGAATGTGAGTACCAATGGTGAGTGGTGAATATCATTCAACGCCGCTTTTAGCAATAGTCCAGCAACATCATGGATATAGACATCAGAAATGAGGTCACACAATGATGAGGAATGCTTTAACCACAATGCTACCTCAACACCCCACAATGACAAGATATATACTCAACCTAAACAGCTGGTGAGGTAATACAGAATCTAGCTCACAAACTGCCAAACTGGAAAAATAACTTTGTATTGTAAAGTTTTTATGAAAGATATTATGAAACTTTAAATGAATTCATGGTATTTTGACATGTAATTTGGAAACTGATTTGCAAACCAAATCAGGTTAGATATCATGGAATAAAATGAGATTATAAGTTTTTTGAAACAAATTGCAATACGTAATTGCCCAATAAAAATATAATTTGCACATTTGACTGATTTTGAACAAAAATAGTCTTGATCCATACCTCTTTTCAATCAAAACCATCACAATTATTTGTTACACTGTTAAAATTAAGAATCGCCTGTATAATACCTTTCACTCTGGTCAGTTTGCTCGAGGTGACTAAAGATCTACTGAAGGTGGACGGTAAAGTATCACAATTATAAGACAAGAAAAATAACATATCGATATCTCATTCTCTGAATTGTTCACCAAAAAATATACCTTTATATGTATAGTTCCAGACAACTGAGGTATTTCACTACCATGCTAAATCTTGAAAAAATCACATGAAACATTCATATGCTCAATCCTACAGTTATTCCACAACCAAACAATCAGGTCTAAGTATGAACTGAGGTGAATTGTTTTGATATATCCGTTGTTTGATCGAAATCCTGTTTCCTCAGTCATTGGCAAGTGGTATCTCCACATCGTCCACAAACAGCTGGTGCACCAAGCCACTTCGACGTTTGCCGCTGCTGCAGATTTTGATGTAGGCGGAATGAGCACCGATCTCAAAGTGGGTCTCAGTTCCGTCATCAACAAACTCGGCCTGGAATACGAACAGTGGTTTGGGTTCTCATAATCTCCGAATCTCATAATAAACAGGATTTAGTTCTCTCCGCTGCGAGATGTTAGATCTTAGTAACTTGACTGATTGACTGACTGAATTTGGTTTTACGCCACTTTCAGCAATATTCCAGCAACATCACGGCGGGGAACACCAGAAATGGGCTTCACACATTGTACCCATGTGGGGATTCAAACCCGGGTCTTCGGCTTGACGAGCCAACGCTTTAACCACTAGGCTACACCACCGCCCCCTAAGTAACTTGAGTTCAAGTTAGATCTTAACAAGCTAAAGATGTCCCATTACAGGAAGTATCAGAAGGAGCTTCTGCACACTTTGATGAACCAATGAGATGAGTAACAAGAAAATAAGAAAATTCTTGAATGTACAGAGACGGAAACAGCTTTTTGAGGGGGGTGCACACTCTTGAGAAAGCACACTCCCCTGCACCCCACCTCTGGATCAGCCTATGATGTATAATGGATGTCCAATTATGTATGGCAGTACTTTCTGTAGATTATGTCACCAGACCTTTCTTTAACGGTAGTCGGAACTAAGATGTGATCAAACAAAACATTGAATTCAGTTATACCATGATGTGTCTGTTAGCTCAACATGTCAGGAAAATGTGATAGGGATGCAAAATTAGATTTATACCACTTTGGAGAAACACACAAACATTGGCTTGGGCTCCAAGGTACAAACAGGTAGACACAGGCAGGGGTGGAAATAACTTTAAAATTGCTAGTGTACTCCGGTACAGTGGCACATGTAAAATCACTTGCCCTGATAAGTTTTCCACTATACCGGCCGTTTTCTTGTTGATTTTTAAATAAACAACATTATTAACATTGGAAAGTCAACTGGACACCGGTACAGCGTGATATACAAATTTGCTTGCCCGACAGAAAAAAACACTGGACTCGGACGTCGGGCAATGGGTTATTTCCACCCCTGACAGGGATTACACCCATGATCATAACATCCATTCAACTGCTGATGCTGGAGCAAGTCAGCTCACATTTATGTAGGCCACTGATAAATGGATGAGATTAAATATACTGAGAGAAACAAATAAAGGAACACAGGAAAATTCAAGTGTTCATTTAATATTTTCAAGTTTTCATCACCAGCTTTGAATAGCACTATGGGGGAAAATCAGAGAATAAATAAAGGAACACTGCCATCAAGTGGTGTTCCTTTATTTGTTTCCCTCAGTATATGAACTAAACTTACAGCAGTGTTTACTTTTTCTCCATTCACCCACACATCAACCGTGTCCTTCTCTGGAACATAAGATTCAGTAAGTTAAAAAATAGGATGTAGCCTGGTAAAAAGCCAACTTTGGGACCCAAGTCTGCCATTGAACTGCTTATAATGTTGTAATGTTAATGTTAAAATGTTAAAATACCACCCAATAACATCCCAATTTTGAAACAAAACAATAGTCTGTCTGCAAGAAGAAGTCCCGACACTGTGCCATATTAAACTGAGGCGTGATATCTCAGTGGGCCAGTACTTGTTAGTGCACTCACACATACATGTATTGACATGTGCATGAAAATGTAAGTGCAATGACCTTGACCCCAATTCACATTGAACAGTATGATGTCATCTTACCCATGGTGAACAGGTAAGTGCTATAACCTTGACCCCAATTCACCTTGATCAGTATGATGCTATCTTACCCATGGTGAACACGTAAGTGCAATAACTTTGACCCCAATTCACCTTGATCACTATGTCATCTTACCCATGGTGAACATGTACGTGCAATAACTTTGACCCCAATTCACCTTGATCACTATGTCATCTTACCCATGGTGAACATGTACGTGCAATAACTTTGACCCCAATTCACCTTGATCAATATGTCATGTTACCCATGGTGAACATGTTAGTGCAATAACCTTGACCCCAATTCACCTTGAACAGTATAATGTCATCTTACCCATGGTGACCCTTATCGGGTTCTCGCCTATGTGGAGTATCCAGGACTGGGTGATCTTGCGCTGGTTCTCACAGAACTTCTGCAAACTTTTGCCATTTACTTGCAACGTGTACTCATAGGCAAATCCACTGACTGCCTCAATGGTTATCTCACACTTGGCCTTGCCCACCTTGAATGCTTCCTTGCCAACCAATTTGAACATCCAGTCTTCTCTATGTATTTCCTGGAAATCAAAAGACAAGGTTACATATGGATTGATGAACACATTGCCATCTCAAGCAAACTTTCTAAAACTCGATGAAAGACTGTATAAATACATTCATAAATCGAGCTCGTTGGATGATGTAACGCAACACAATTTTGGCAACAGGAATCCAAACTGATATGCAAAATGCCACTTTAATTGTCTTTGCATCCAATTCAAGTACCCATAAGTCATATCAGCATGATCAGATCATCAATTCAAGAAGCCGTATTAGCATGATCTGATAATCATTCAAGGACTCTTTACTCATATCAGTATGATCAGATAATCAATTCAAGGACTCTCATGCCATAAAAGCATGATCAGATCATCAATTCAAGGACTCTTATGCCATAAAAGCATGATCAGATCATCAATTCAAGGACTCTTATGCCATAAAAGCATGATTAGATCATCAATTCAAGGACTCATATGCCATAAAAGCATGATTAGATCATCAATTCAAGGACTCTCATGCCATAAAAGCATGATCAGATCATCAATTCAAGGACTCTTATGCCATAAAAGCATGATTAGATGATCAATTCAAGGACTCTTATGCCATAAAAGCATGATCAGATCATCAATTCAAGGACTCTTATGCCATAAAAGCATGATTAGTTCATCAATTCAAGGACTCTCATGCCATAAAAGCATGATCAGATCATCAATTCAAGGACTCTTATGCCATATCAGCATGATCAGATCATCAATTCAAGGACTCTCATGCCATAAAAGCATGATCAGATCATCAATTCAAGGACTCTCATGCCATAAAAGCATGATCAGATCATCAATTCAAGGACTCATATGCCATAAAAGCATGATTAGATCATCAATTCAAGGACTCTCATGCCATATCAGCATGATCAGATCATCAATTCAAGGACTCTTATGCCATAAAAGCATGATCAGATCATCAATTCAAGGACTCTTATGCCATAAAAGCATGATTAGATCATCAATTCAAGGACTCATATGCCATAAAAGCATGATTAGATCATCAATTCAAGGACTCTCATGCCATATCAGCATGATCAGATCATCAATTCAAGGACTCTTATGCCATAAAAGCATGATCAGATCATCAATTCAAGGACTCTTATGCCATAAAAGCATGATTAGATCATCAATTCAAGGACTCTCATGCCATAAAAGCATGATTAGATCATCAATTCAAGGACTCTCATGCCATAAAAGCATGATTAGATCATCAATTCAAGGACTCTTATGCCATAAAAGCATGATTAGATCATCAATTCAAGGACTCTTATGCCATAAAAGCATGATCAGATCATCAATTCAAGGACTCTTATGCCATAAAAGCATGATCAGATCATCAATTCAAGGACTCTTATGCCATAAAAGCATGATCAGATCATCAATTCAAGGACTCTTATGCCATAAAAGCATGATCAGATCATCAATTCAAGGACTCTTATGCCATAAAAGCATGATCAGATCATCAATTCAAGGACTCTTATGCCATATCAGCATGATCAGATCATCAATTCAAGGACTCTTATGCCATAAAAGCATGATCAGATCATCAATTCAAGGACTCTTATGCCATATCAGCATGATCAGATCATCAATTCAAGGACTCTTATGCCATAAAAGCATGATCAGATCATCAATTCAAGGACTCTCATGCCATAAAAGCATGATCAGATCATCAATTCAAGGACTCTTATGCCATAAAAGCATGATCAGATCATCAATTCAAGGACTCTTATGCCATAAAAGCATGATTAGATCATCAATTCAAGGACTCTTATGCCATAAAAGCATGATTAGATCATCAATTCAAGGACTCTCATGCCATAAAAGCATGATCAGATAATCAATTCAAGGACTCTTATGCCATAAAAGCATGATTAGATAATCAATTCAAGGACTCTTATGCCATAAAAGCATGATCAGATCATCAATTCAAGGACTCTTATGCCATAAAAGCATGATTAGATCATCAATTCAAGGACTCTTATGCCATAAAAGCATGATCAGATCATCAATTCAAGGACTCTATGCCATAAAAGCATGATTAGATCATCAATTCAAGGACTCTTATGCCATGATCAGATCATCAATTCAAGGACTCTTATGCCATAAAAGCATGATCAGATCATCAATTCAAGGACTCTCATGCCATATCAGCATGATCAGATCATCAATTCAAGGACTCTCATGCCATAAAAGCATGATCAGATCATCAATTCAAGGACTCATATGCCATAAAAGCATGATTAGATCATCAATTCAAGGACTCTCATGCCATATCAGCCATATCAGCCATAAAGCATGATCAGATCATCAATTCAAGGACTCTCATGCCATAAAAGCATGATCAGATCATCAATTCAAGGACTCTTATGCCATAAAAGCATGATTAGATCATCAATTCAAAGGACTTATGCCATAAAAGCATGATTAGATCATCAATTCAAGGACTCTTATGCCATAAAAGCATGATCAGATCATCAATTCAAGGACTCTTATGCCATAAAAGCATGATCAGATCATCAATTCAAGGACTCTTATGCCAAAAGCATGATCAGATCATCAATTCAAGGACTCTTATGCCATAAAAGCATGATCAGATCATCAATTCAAGGACTCTTATGCCATAAGCATGAGCAGATCATATTCAAGGATCAGATCATCAATTCAAGGACTCTTATGCCATATCAGCATGATCAGATCATCAATTCAAGGACTCTTATGCCATAAAGCATGATCAGATCATCAATTCAAGGACTCTTATGCCATATCAGCATGATCAGATCATCAATTCAAGGACTCTTATGCCATAAAAGCATGATCAGATCATCAATTCAAGGACTCTTATGCCATAAAAGCATGATTAGATCATCAATTCAAGGACTCTTATGCCATAAAGCATGATTAGATCATCAATTCAAGGACTCTTATGCCATAAAAGATCATGATCAAGATCATGCAATTCAATGATTAGATCATCTTATGCCATCTTATGCATAAAAAGCATGATCAGATCATCAATTCAAGGACTCTTATGCCATAAAAGCATGATCAGATCATCAATTCAAGGACACTTATGCCATAAAAGTTTATTAAAAGCATGATCAGATCATCAATTCAAGGACTCTTATGCCATAAAAGCATGATCAGATCATCAATTCAAGGACTCTTATGCCATAAAAGCATGATCAGATCATCAATTCAAGGACTCTTATGCCATAAAAGCATGATCAGATCATCAATTCAAGGACTCTTATATCAGCATGATCAGATCATCAATCAAGATTATCCATTCAAGGACATCAATTATGCCTTATGCCATAAAAGCATGATCAGATCATCAATTCAAGGACTCTTATGCCATAAAAGCATGATCAGATCATCAATTCAAGGACTCTTATGCGATAAAAGCATGATCAGACACAGTAAAACCAGTACAAGCACATCAGACTAAGTGTTTCACACAGAATGCATAACCATGCTCTTAAGCATACAGTGAAATATTTCTTTTTATTTGTTACTCTATACCAAAAAAGAAAAGATTGAAATATTGGCACAAAAAAATATATAATAATTTCTGGCATCTACAGTCATGCACTATGGTAAGCACATTACATTGCTTGTACCAGAAGGGGCCTCATACCCTTTTACATGGCAAAGCCAAATAAAACAGCTTAATGCTTGTGTACTCATATGCTTCAATAAATGGCAATATATGGTCACAAACAGCTGAGAGACATGCATAGGTTCATTTGACTTCTGTCCATCAATCTTTATTTCTTGTAGTGGAGGCCACAGGCCCATTCTACATTTACAATTGACTATGAGAGAGTATATACAATATACAATATACAATATAATTAATAACATACGGTTCGGTTATGTTACAATATGTACAAATGACTGTCTAAGACGCATAGCTTTATATACATACTCTTCTAGATTTTTTAAAGTTTCTGGATTTATCTCTGACATTAACATGTCAAATTTATGTACAGTAGGATTCAAATAGTATTTCTTTGGCAAAAGTAGAGACCTTAGATCTTGGTATACATTACATACTAATAAGAAATGGAATTCGTCTTCAATATATCGTTCTTTGCATACAACTGACTGACTGAGTTTGGTTTTATGCCGCTTTTAGCAATATTCCAGCAACATCACAGCGGGGGACACCAGAAATGGACTTCACACATTGTGCCCATGTGGGGATTCGAACCCGGGTCTTTGGCGTGATGAGCAAACGCTTTAACCATTAGGCTACCCCACCGGCCCCTTTGCATACAAGACATAATCTATCAACTTTAGTTTCCTTAGCATATCTGCCAGTTTCAATTCGAAGCCGGTGTGAAAAACATCTAAATTGAGCAAACGCAGCCCTAAATTTTCAATAAGTGAGTTCTTTGATATACAATTCTAAGCCAAATGATGATTTAAACGAAATATAGGTTGAATATTTAGTGCTGCTATTGATGGTTGCATGCCAATCTTGCTCATAAGATACTTTAAGTCTGTATACAAACACCGACATAAAATTTCTAACACCAACTACTTCGTTGTCATACAGAGGCTTCTTCCATGACACCACACTTCTACACAGTGTACAGATTCATGTGTGATGAGGCATAGTTTGTGAATTTAGCCAGTAGTCCAAAGTCCGGTCCAGTATAAATTCTTTTGGTCATGCAAGCTTTGCTACAAACAGTCCATATTTTATCACTGAGTTCTGATGAAAATGATTATGATACATGAAATATTGGGGATGAGAACTTAATAAAAAATTGAAACTACCTCACCTTTCCATCTACACGGATGACTCTCTTGCCTGTTGTTGTTCCATGTTCGAATTCTATCGTGTGCACCCCATCACTTAGAGCGACCTCCCATGTGGCCACTAGGTCACTTGACATATTCCTGTTTAATTTTTAAAGAAAATATAGCCTTTTCACAACTACAACTACAACAACAACAACAATTTGCTTGTAAAACGCATAACTCTATCTGCAAAGTAAGCTAGAAGTGCTAAAATATCATTACATCAATCAGTGGAATAATATGCACTCAAATTTTCATTCTCTCCTCTGTTGGGTGTACACAACCCAAATACATTCTATAGTCTTCAAAATAAATAGTGGATCATGAAATATAACTGTTATAATGCTACAAGTACAACTAAGTAAAAGAACAAAGATACATGTTGACAAGAAACATCCTATGGTGTGTATTTCATCCTATGCTAGAACTTTTGTCTACAAAACATGACCATGTTGACACTATTTTTCAGCATTACATTATTAAGTTTCAGAATCAAAGTGTTCATCAGCATCAGTTAGTTGTATTTAACTATAAGGACATTTTTCAAACATTTCACATTGTCATGATTGATTTCAGTTTACAACACATTTCATAGTTATATCTCCTCACATCTACATTAATGTAGCAAGTCTAGTTTTCCACAGCTTCAGAAAGACTCAGAGCTCCTTTTCATCATGTTTTATTTTTTTACTATAAGCTTTTTTTTCTGTAAAATATGTTCATTTCAGAGACTAGTTGTTAGTCTAAGATGACACTTATGAATAAGTCTATGAAAACGGTAGTATCAGAAACATAAGAATTTGCATACCAGCCAATTTAATTATAGTCTGTTTGCAGTGAAAATGCACTGATGAATTTCACTTTAAACAAGAAAGTAAATCGAATAAAGTGAAATTAAGATTGCGAATCCTCATAATTTTACCTTGCCAACTGAACATTTAAATGTCACAATTTTATTAAACTTAGGATAAAAGTTGTTTAACAAACGATCATAGTTTCAAATCGTTATTATTGGTTTGTATTACAAGGGTGTATGCACATTAAATGAAACACCGAGAACAAGTAGGGTTGGTCTAATTTAACGCTCATCACGTAACGCATGTGCATTTGTTTCAGTGTTCCAACTACTGTGCTTACCCCCTTGTAATACAAACCAATAATAGCGATTTGAATCGATGATCATTTGTTAATCAACTTTTATCCTAAGATGAATAAAATTCTGGGATTCAAATGTTCAATTGGCAAGGTAAAATTATGAGGATTCGTAATCTTAATTTCACTTTATTTGATTTACTTTTTGGTTTAAAGTGAAATTCATTGGTACGTTTTCACTGCAAACAGACTATACATACAAGTGATATGCCTCAAGTTTCATAACATAACAGTGTGTTAGGATAGCTGTTTATGTAGTGCCCTGTGTGTAATAGCATACATATAATAATAATCACAGCAGTCCTCACGCCTGTCGCCACTGAGCAGCACCACCAATATACATATACTCTGATCTGCAGTTATCTTCAGCCTGTGTGGGGTGTTTTTTAAACCTGTATCATATAAAGTGTTTTAGCATTGCTAGTCAAGTATACTCCTAACTTAAGCCACCCTGACACTTGCACAAATTTTGTCCCCACACTGGTATGCAATTATGCGTGCCAATGAGTAATTTTGGTGTAAACTGGTGTGAAGTGTGCATAAACTGTGCAGGGCTGCATACCAGTGCACAAAGAAAATTTTGAAATGTTAAAAAATCCTGGTATGCATAATCTTCGTGCCACTTGCGTGAACTAGTTGTGAACATTGTGCAACCTACTGGCAGACAGAGGTTGCAGAGATAGAGACAGAGGTTGCACAGAGTGAGAGGGATATTTCTCCCCCTCCTCAAGTGCTGATGTTTCTGCACCTCAAGGAGAGCCCCAAGAAGAGCCCCAAACACAGCAGAAACAGGCAGCAGAGTTAGCAAGAAAGAAATACCAGACTACTACTTACTAGTATGCTTAAACAGCGCAGCAGTGCGGGGACAAAATTCATGCAAGTGTCAGGGTGGCTTTACTCATGTTGGTCTACATCAGAAGAATATGTCGTTTTAATTTCTGGTTAAATTGTGATAAAGTTTCACCTTAGAAATATTTACATTACAGGCTTTTGACCAGTTGTTAAAATACTTGAGGTTGAAACCACAGGAACATAATAGTAGATTGATACAGTGCCATATGTCGAGGGATATGGTATGTTTAGGATGTAGTTCCTGTAGATACAACTGCCGTGTTGCAGGCATATTAATTCGGAATTCATCTTCAATCTGCTGAATCGTGAAGCAGATCGAAGCAGAATTCCGAGTAGTTCATGATAACTGACTCTAACTAATACTGACTGTTTGTTTATAGCACTGTGAATAATAAGCATTGAGCGTAGTATAAAGTTTACAATACAGTCTACTTTTGTGTATAGACTTAGTCATCAGTATGAAGAATTTATTCGTTTTGGGCGTAGATTTTGAAAAGCATAACTCAAAACGATCACAGTCACAAACAAACATTTGCACGTACTTCGTCTTCGCTTCTTGCTGCTCGGCAACAGACCAAAATGTACACACTTCCGGGTAGCTTCGCAGCAAATGTTTTGGGCATGATCCTACGATTGGGAGCAAGCCCACTATTTTGCACAAAAGATCTTAATCAAAATTCCTTTTTCAAAATATTTTCAGATGATGTGCTATACCTTGACGATAAAGTTACTGTCCCTGTTCCCGAGTGCGCACCTGTCAAACAACAAACATGGCGTCTTTCGGCAAACAACAACGCCGTTGGATTGTAAGTTATGTTTCAATAATTCAAACAATTTTTGATGCACAACGTCAACGTCTAAATACCCCAGCCCATTTTCTGAACAGCCACTTAGATAGAGAGTAGATTTAACTGTCAGTTTGGAATTCTATTGTTCTGGCGGTAAATTTGAATGCGACAGACTTGTCAAAACATGTTATTGTTAAGAATATTGTTACACTTCGAACGGAGTTGAGAGATAGTTCTGCTATGAAAGTAGCCTACAGACTGATATATATTAATGTAAATAAAAGCATTGCATCTGGAGGCTAGATATGTTTCCAAATACTTCTTTTGTCAGTACGCATTTGCCTGAATTCATTTTCCAGCATTTCTACAAAATGTAATGGCAAAACAGTAACACTTGAATCGGGATAAAAGTTGTCACACCATATTTGCTCATCTGTATGTTTGGTCCACTTATATTCGTGTAAAGAAGGCAACAATGCAACTTTCCATGTGCTAACTAACTCAGGTGCAATCATACCCCATAGTTCATACCAGAGACCATATATATGTCGGTATATGGTCTCTGTTCATACCAATCAAACAACCCTTCATGTGTTCACTGTCGTTACGGTTGGGCTGTGCAATTTTTTTCAGGTGCAATCACACCCCTTACCAATCAAACAGTCCTTCACTGTCCTTAGGGTTGGGCAGTGCAATTTTCCAGGTGTGAATTGACTCTGGTGCAGTCAGACCGCTTTCCCATCAAATAACCCTTCACTGTCTTAACTAGGGTTTGACACTACTTGTCAATCAGTGATGAAGCATCCCTTTAGGATCCTTAGGGTTGCTCACCTCTTTACAATCCTTAGGGTTTGTGAGCTGGGGTATGAGAATTGCTGCGTCCTAAATGCATAAAAATTGACAATGGACGCAACAAAATTTATTAGCGCATCCACAGGGATGCAGAAAAAGTCCAAATACTTTTTGTAAAAATTCCAATCAAGTAACAATAAGTTATCAAAGAGTTTGCTAGTAGCTGGGTTATGGTATCATTTGCAATTTAATTACTGTAACAAATAATGTGATGATCATGATACGCAAGACAATAAGACCGCCTCCGTGGTGTGGTGGTTAGAGCGTCCGCCCGGAGAGCGGAAGGTCGCTGGTTCGACCCCTGACCGCACCATACCAAAAGACGTTAAAATATGGTACTTGTTGGTCCCTGCCTGGCGTTCGGCATTAATGGGTACATCAAGGACTGGTCGGCTCGGAATCAGTATAATGTGTCTGAGTGGGGTATTCATGCTTCACTGCGGCATGGTATCTCAGTGGGCTAGCACTATAAAACCAGCTTCAGTCTGGGCTAGTACAAGCAGCTGCACATACACATACACACGCATGCACGTCGTCATATGAGCGAAATATTCTCAAGCACGACGTTAAACCCAATTTCACCTCACCTCACCTCACCTCACAAGACAATAACATTATTGATAATAATATTTAAGTGTCTGGACCCCCATTTTGTTGTTCAGGACCCCTGAAATTTAAGAGTATGAGTCCCAGGGACCCTCAAAAACAGGACTCAAGGTAAATCCCTGTGTATGAAAGGACAACTGCTATCACCATGATCCTGTTTCAAAGAAATTTAATAGTCAACAAGTTGATTGAACTTGATTTTCTGTCTCGATTATCTTATCAGTAGGTCTCTGCCTCAGTGCATATCAAGGCATGTCATATTCATGTGATCTTTGACCACTGTACCCCAGTTATGTGTTTGTTTGTCATTGGACTAGTGTAATCTATGTAGAGAGACTTTCCATGAACATTGGGTTTTAAAATAAAATTGATCTTAATGTGCAAATGTTGAAAAATAAAATGAAACATACTCCTTGACCACATTTTCACAATTTAGAAATACTTTGCATTATACCAAAAAACAATATTATTTGATATTGTCACATGGTGTTTAGTTTAATGGAAAACAGATAAATGTCATATGCATTGATAAGTATATGAGAATTGGAAACTGCAATTTCATAGATGGTTCCAGTGGAACATAATTATATCATAAACATTTTTAACAGTACATATACTGAACGTATGCTGGACATGTCAAATCTATGTTTACCTAAACTAGCCTAAACATTTCAATAGCAACAAGGTATCACTGTATGTCCGTCATGTCCATATGTAGAATGTTTCTGTGTTGAGAACTAAGCATCATAATCATGATAATACATGACATTGTTATTGAACATATTGACATATCTTATTTAGATACAACTCAGGGATTTACATGGAGTCCTGTATTTGAGGGTCCATGGGACTCATACTCTCAAGTTTCATTGGTCATGGACGACAAAATGGGGGTCCCAGACACTTCAATATTATTAATACTGTTATTGTATTGTGTATCATGATCATCACATTGTTACAGTAATTAAATTGCAAATAATACCATAACCCAGCTGGTAGCAAACTCAGTGATAACTTATTGTCACTTGATTGGAACTTATAAAAAAAGTATTTGGACTTTTTATGTGTCCTTGTGGACGCGCTAATAAATTTTGTTGCGTCCATTGTCAATTTGTATGCATATAGGACGCAGGAATTCGAGTCCTGTAAATCCCTGTACTACTGGTTGGTAGGTCTGGTAAAACTTTATTAGATTATTCCTGCCTCAGTATGACACATGTAATGCATACTTTTGACATATTAAATTATTTGACATCCAGAGTCATCAAATGACGAACCCAGGTGTTGATGTGGAAGACGATATGGATAGTACTGGCTATGAGGTGAGAGTGATGATAGACAATATGTTACTGTTATTCCATGAGAGACCAGTTGTGTCTTCTTACTCGTTTGATTCTCAGTCTCAAAAACTCACATGAGCAGATAAACATGATATGTACCTGTATACCATTAGGTTCGTCATTGATTCAAAATGAAATATATCTGATATATCACATCAAGAGTATCAAATATATTGATAGATCAATTGATAATGAAATGATCTTTTACTGTATGTGTTTCTATAGATCTGCAGTCATCATGCTTTGGACTAAGTATGAAAAAGGTTGATCTATGAAAAGTTCAAATTTGTAGACATTTGACAATTTTCTTTTCTTCAGTTTTCAAATTTTGAGTCAATATTTCCAAATTGTAGTCCTCAGTGAGGCAGTTTGTGATGTAAGCTTGTGATGTAAAGCTCAAGGAACTTGCTATCTGATTAGCTGCTGTGAAATAATTGTTAGTCATTTCATTGGTCAATTAAGGTTTGTCCTCAGATCTTTGTTTTGAGGTAGAGACAACTGAGATATGATTTCAGTGAGATTTATCATGGAACAAAATTACTTTTTACAGGGTGAAATGAAAGCATGGTCCAGTGTGAATCACCTGTTGCGGAGTAATGGTTACGTAAAAGTTAAACTTCTACATCCAGCAGATGTTTCCCTTGCAACAGGTAAATTATGATGTTACCGGTACAATCTTAGTGACATGTCTACTGTGACAGGGACCTATCTATGGAAAATAGCGTCCGTGTGTTTACCTAAAAATTCATGGAAAAAGTTTAACAATCCAGCCATCATTCATGTCAATCAATAACTTGAACACCTATCAATGACTGTAGCAAATTTTGTTTCATTATTTTCATAAATAACACTTTTAGACGCGTTTTTGTGTGACATGCAGAATTTCCCTGTCTGTGATCAGGCAGTCACGCGAGTGAGTGACCCCCTCTCAGGTAGTCACTTGTACGCGTAACGGTGGACCGTCTCGCGTACATGTTACGTCCTCTACTGATCATAGTGCTTCTCAGACATGGCAATCAAAGACGAATCATGCATCTAAAGAAAGTTGTTTTTCCACTATATTGGGATAGCTTATCCGACTTCAACCAAAAAGTTTTCAATGGCGAGAACCTTTAAGGGGCACCCATGCCATGCCAAACTTGCCATACCTTAGGTATGCCCCTGTACACTGAACCTGAACAGTGAAATATATCAGTGATTTGATAACAACCTATCAAATGAAATACCATTAATTATACTGCTGTTGTACTTTCAGATAATGTTGTCTGTGTTGATCTTGCGACAAGTGAATCTTTGAGAGATACTTTAACAACACTTCTTAGGTATGTGACGTATCAAGCTAATTTCAGCAAGTTATTAGTAATATTAGTGTCTTGGGTTGAATGAATTATCAAACAAAACAATGCTGCATTTGGAATCACTTTTCAATTTACACTTCCAGAATTTCAAGTCACATGCAAATAATTCATGGAGTTGCCATGGTTACCATCATTTACTTCCCTGTTGTATTTTTGCATTTTGATTCCCATGTCAATACAATGCCAGGGAAGGATGGAACACTGCATCGTCTTACTTTGGTAATTGTCGAAAAGAACAGGAAATGAATTGTCTGTGATTACACTTTCAATAAGTTCAACAAAGGGAATATTGTTGTGTTCCCTTTGAGTGGATAATTCTTACTGAGTGCCAGCAAATAACAGTACATTATGTAATGAGGTGAGGTGAAATTGGGTTTAACGTCGTACTTGAGAATATTTCGCTCATATGACGATGTGCATGCGTGTGTATGTGTATGTGCGGCTGCTTGTACTAGCCCCGACTGAAGCTGGTTTTATAGTGCTAGCCCACTGAGATACCATGCCACAGTGAAGCATGAATACCCCACTCAGACACATTATACGGACTCCGAGCCGACCAGTCCTTGTTGTACCCATTAATGCCGAGCGCCAGGCAGGGACCAACAAGTACCATATTTTAACATCTTTTGGTATGGTGCGGTCGGGGATTGAACCCACGACCTTCCGCTCTCCAGGCGTTCGCTCTAACCACTACACCACGGAGGCGGTCCATTGTGTAATGAAATAAACTAGCTAGCTTTGTGAATCAGCTGCGTATGGAAACATGTTGACAGCTGCTAGTTTGGGGAGATTTTGTTTTCCTTGCTAGTTGGAAATACTTGAAACATGGGTAATAAGGCCTATTTCCTTTAACATATTTAACTGACTGGATTTTGTAAGCTTTTCCAATAATATGGTAAATGTACTTTAAAAATATGTCTCTCAATTTTAATAAATATGATTAGTACTAGTAGAAGTGTTGATTTCCTAAGCAGAAAAGAAGATATTATGTACAGTTTAAAATCATCTTCATGATGTTGACAACTGTGTATGTTCTGGATGTTAGTGACCAACCAGAGCAGCAGAGCTCCTTGATGGAGAAGTATCAGAACAAGGTGAAGGACCTCAAGGTCATGCTGGAGTGTTCCAGGGCCAGAGTGCAGGTATGACCTTCACCTTACCTCAGACGCACAGATAAAGCATCTGTGACTAATACAACAAATACATTCTTTTTGTTTAATTCACTGCTAATGGTTACTGAAACTGATTGAGTTCAACAAGTTTTTTGCTCATGTATGAAAATATTTATATTTATAACAAAATTGGTGTTCACCATTATACTATAGTTGTTTGTTCGTTATACAGAATTTATTCACAACATTTATAAATGAGCAGGGTAAAAAACTTATTTCTATTTTCACTAGTCCATTGAATTCATCTGCTACAGAACTGCCATCTAATGGTTACGTGGTAGTCCACATTGGACAAATATCACTTGTGGGTGGAGTGATATTGGTCAAATTGATTAATCACTGTGAATGTTAACTGTGAACCTTGGGTAAAATGACAAAGGAAAAGATGTAGTGTGCTGTTTTTGATTAGGTGGAAGGTGTTTAGTGAAGTGTTGTGTATGACTGACAGGAACTGGAGCAAGATGCTCAGAGTAGGTTGTCCTACTACAAAGATGAAGGAGAGATGCTGCGGAACACCAAGAACGTAATCGTGTCCAAGCAGCGTCAGCTGGAACAGCAGTGCCAGGAACAGGAGCTGGAGATTGACATGCTCAGGAGGAAACTGAAGAGGATGGTTGATGAGGTGAGTGGGAAGATAGATGGATGATGCCTCAAGACCCTTGTCCTGGGACTACACTAGACTTGAAACTTTCTGCTTCACAACAGGCTGTGTGCCAAACCTGCACTTTTGAACTTCTCCTAAATATTGTCAGATGTTTTAACATATTGACCTCAATTAGCTACTCTATTGAGGCAGGGGTTGGAGTCATTTCACCTCTTTTGTCATGTGGACAAGGTGTTTCACCTTATGAGTCATGTAATTTATGATGTCAAAGCATTGTGATCTCATGTAATTATTGTAATTGATGATGTCAGGGCATTGTACAAAATCAATTGTCAAAACAATATCTTCTAGGAGATATCATTTGATCTGAAACAAGCAATTACTCCAGTGGAACACAGTTTGGGGATGATAAATCTGGGTGTCAGCAGTATAGTTTTATCAGTACATTCCATTCATGACCTGCCAGTTTAACATGGCTTGGCCACACCAATAAAAATATCAGTATGATTTTCTCTTGGAAAGGGTTTAATATTGTTATGTATTTTTCTGTCCTTTTTAAGGAGACAAGAAGAATCAACAGGCAAAATCAGGTTTTTCAGGAATTCAAGAAGAGAACTTCAAGAGCTCATAGTGTCATGGATGAAAAGTAATTTGCTATTTTTCTTAACTTCAACTGAATTTTGTTTTGAAATTATTTTTAAATAATACTATTCGGGCTCTGAAACTGTTTGGTAAAACAAAATGGTCCTATGTTTTTGTTGGTGTTCATGTTTCTCTGAAAGCAAAATAACTAGCTTGAAGATTTTTGTTACCTGGTGATATTTCATGTTTTATGATGAATTAGGAATTCTGTAAGTCGATATGCTTAACTTAACTGAGGTGGTTGCCTATGTTTCAGACTACTTGACATCATTGATGCCTATGAAGGTCAAGTAAACACATTGCAAAGAGACCTGGATCAGTCCAGGTAAAGCCTATATCTCCTAACAATCAGATGATTGACTCCTATACGAGGATCTAATGAACCCTCCATTGCAGGTCATCAGGTCATGACAGGTCAGCCTTCTGGTCTGCCCTTCAACCCCTGATTCTATGTTCTTGCTATGTCTCAACAGCAACTAATGTTATTTTGTTTGATTTCTGTGTCGAGAAACAAACATAAAAGGGCACTCATGAATATAATATTATGAAGGTACTGTCATGGGTATTTTGTATACCTTGTTGTGTATCTGAGTGAAAGATTAGGTTCTTGTTGAGTGAGTGAGTTGGGTTTTATGCCGCTTTTAGCAATATTCGAACAATATCACGGCAGGGGACACCAGAAATGGGCTTCACGTGAACATTGTACCCATGTGGGGAATCGAACCCGAGCGCTTTCACCACGAGGCTAACCCACCGCCCCAGATCATTCATTATTATCAAATAATTATTCAGATGTTTTGATCACTGTTTGAAAGGGTTTTTTTCCTTATCATTACCAATTTATTCATATCACTGTAATACGGTTGATGTATTTAGATGTGTTGTTTGAGTACAGTGATTGTGTGTCAATTTAATGTTCAGTGTATGGCCTCAATACTGGAATTCTCTCTCTCAGATCTGGTTTACCATTCGGTGCTGAAGACAGTGAAGAGTCCTACCTTTCTCATCACCCAAACCCTTCACAGAATGTAAAAGGAATCATGAAGGTTTGTTTCAAAATTGAATGTGATTTGCTGTTGGTGTTATCCATGTATAAAGTGAGTTGTCTCCCCTAGTTAATAGAACCCAAAATGTGTAAGTTCAAACACTGGACAAGCCAAAAATGACAACTCAGGCAACAGATGATATTTACAGAATATTACAAACTGTTGCTCCAACACAATAGTTACTCTTCTCGCATGATGGTCAGTAAAAATACATTCACATGTACGTATGGACAGAGACCATATACCGGTATATGGTCTCTGGTATGGAGAAAGACGAGATGAACCAAAATGTTAAATGGCCAGTGTGTAACCATCACAACCCATACACTCAATCCCATTCTTTTGTATGATTCTAAATTTTCCAACTTTCATTCATAATTCCAAACATGCCATCTTGGTGACAGTCACTTCATGAACATGCTGAATAGCAATGTATTAGAGTTACCTCCCTTCTATCATCAGTATCATGTCTTACAGGCATATGAGAAGCGTACCCAGTCGCTGCAGAAGAAGGTGAAGCGGCTGGAGGAGGAGAAGGAGTTGATGAAAATGGATATGGGCAGCAAGTATGTAACTGTAGTTACAGTGTCACATCTAAGTATAGAGGGGCGGTGGGGTAGCCTAGTGGTTAAAGCGTTGGCTCGTCACGCCGAAGACCCGGGTTCGATTCCCCACATGGGCACAATGTGTGAAGCCCATTTCTTGTGTCCCCCGCCGTGATATTGCTGGAATATTGCTAAAAACGGCGTAAAACTAAACTCACTCAGTCTAAGTATAGAATTCTACTTGATTTAGTGTCTCTTTTCACCCATAATGGTAGGGTGATCAGATGAAATAACATGTGTGATTGGTCAGTGGAGTCATGTGACATTACAGAGATTATTTGATGAAAACAATGCTATGATGTCATCCATTTTTCATGCCATCACAAATTGATTATTTTACATCATCTATACAATAGAAAAAGGTGCCTTCAATGAACAGTCAGGAAGTACTATTTTAATAGCCTACTTGAAATGGGGAATTATGGACTAGTTCCTCGTGAATAAATGAGCCAAAGGTTCATGATTAACACTATTCAGTCACTCAGGAAAGAGGATCTGTAATTTCTTGGAGCTTGTTGGTTGTTTTAAAAATATTCACAGTTGTTTTAACCAATAACATGTACCGGTAGCACTGAATAGCATTATGTTCATGTCTTAGGCAGTTTATGGTATGTAGAATTAGATGATGATATCTGTGATTGTTGAGTGAGCGTGCTTCTAGCTATAGGTATCCAGGCAGTAATACATGTATTTGGACCTGGATGATTGTCTTTCAGTGTACCTTGACCATTTCGGTGAATGTCGTTCACTGGTGTTTTAATAGACACTATTGGTGTAGCTGAATTATTTCTTTGTTGTAAATCTATATTCACTCACTCCACTCACTCACTCACTCACTCACTCACTCACTCACTCACTCACTCACTCACTCACTCACTCACTCACTCACTCACTCACTCACTCACTCACTCTGTATGCTGAGTTAATGTCTAGATTTGGCTCTGTGCCATGTCACCATTGATACTTGATTTATGTGTTGTATGTGGCATTGTATTTTAGGCCTGAAGTGAAGGATTACAGACTTGCTACACAGAGAGTTAAGAAGCTGGAGAAACTCCTGGCCACACACAACATCAGGTACAATTTAATGGAGAAAGCGTTCATTGATATAGCACTTAACATAGTAGTAGGGGATGAAAAGTCTTCTCTTAACATAATAGTAGGGGATGAAAAAGTCTTCTCTTAACATAGTAGTAGGGGATGAAAAAGTCTTGTCTTAACATAGTAGTAGGGGATGAAAAAGTCGTCTCTTAACATAGTAGTAGGGGATGAAAAAGTCTTCTCTTAACATAGTAGTAGGGGATGAAAAAGTCTTCTCTTATGTAGAAGTGACAATCTAGAAGTTTTCAGAGGCCCAGATAAGCTGCGTATCCAGATATGCGTATCCGGGTAAAATACGCATAGAAAATTTCCAATTACGCATTGAAAATAATTGTTGCGCACTCACCACGATTTAAAATGTTAGATATGCAAAAAGTTTAAAACAAATGCGTACTGAATATATTTATAAAAATTGCTTGCGTAATGAAAAGACATCGATTGCTATCAAGTTGTACTGTTAGTATAGGACTAGTGTTGTACTGTCAGTATAGGATGAGTGATTTTTTATGAAATCATTTCCATTATATTTAAGTTGGTTTTGATTAGGTATGACATAAGGCAGAACATACCTGCTTAGTAAACTTACTCAATGACATAATACTTAGGTGAGTAAAATGACTGAAATACGCACATATTTGAAAGCAGTGGGTAACGGAAAATGAAATACCCACTCAACATTCATAATACCCACTCCAAAAACATACAGTGGGTACAGTACCCACATGAGCTAAATCTTATCTGGAGCTCTGGTTTTCTTACATTGACAATTCTTTCTATCTTGTTTATGCCATGTATTTGCCTACCTTTTAATTATCTGATGAAAGAAACCTATGACCCAATCAATGATCCTTTCCAGAAATAAATAATGCAATGTTGTATACTCCCAAGGAAGTTGAAAATGAATTATAATGCACACTGATCCAGTGACAGTTCTTTAACAAAGCATACTATGTGAATCAAGTACTTTGACAAGTTTGAGGTGTACATCTCTTATTGACTGGCAACTCCCTTGTCCAAAACTCAGATGCGTCCAAATGCTAACCAGAAAGCTATGACTGACTGACTGACTGAGTTTGGTTTAACGCCGCTTTTAGCAATATTCCAGCAACATCACGGCGGGGAACACCAGAAATGGGCTTCACACATTGTACCCTTGTGGGGATTCAAACCCGGGTTTTTGGCATGACGAGCCAACGCTTTAACCACTAGGCTACCCCACCACCCCAGAAAGCTATGAAGAAACTGTCACATGAGAATTCAACATGCATCTTGTGTTATCATTTCCATTGCTTGTGAGGCAGTGGAGAAGCCTTCACTCATCATGCCAGAGAAGCTATTAGATTTCTGACATGGGAACGATGTTTGAAGCGCATTGCTGGTGCTCTCCACCATAATATATGTGGAATATTGTCAGTGTTGCCAAAATAGCCACTTGCCTGCTAGCCCGTGGCTAGTTAAAATCCTGTCGGACCAGTAACTCTCAACAGTCACTGGCCCGACCTGCGAGTGAATTTTCATGGGGTCATTTTGTAAATATATCACTCTCTCCGACTTGTTAGTTATAATACACTTTTAAATCATGCAAGATTATGGCCTGATAAAAATATTCATCATATTAGCAGCTTAATGACGAAATCTGTGTCATGCCGACAATATCTTATTCTCATCTATTTTTTTAATCTTTTACTTAATTTCTACATTCAAATTCCGGGCTACTGAATTATTTTGTGGGCTTGTAGCTTTCAGGCATAGCTAGCCCGACTGGCTAGCGATATTTGGAAACTATTTCGCACACTGAATATTGTCAAAAGTTATGTGTAGCATGAAGTCTGATGCTTAAGTTATGACAATTACCACTGCAGCCTCCAAGGTTTATGTGGTAACTTTGGTCATTAGGGAATGGGTTTGAAGGTAGGTTATAGATCCGCAGTGACTTCATAATGATCATTAGATATCTGTTACTAGTGTCCCTGGAGAGAAGATCAACAAAGATCCATTTAGACTCAAGAGAAAATACAGCACAAGAGTTGAAGATTTAGATTATCTCCCCTTGGACTTTTGTCAACAGTATCTCAGGGTAGGCATGTCAGTTTGTTTGTTTTTGTGTTTGTTGTTGAATGCTGCATTCAGCAATATTCCAGCTATATGGCAGCAGTCTGTAAATAACTGAGTCTGGACCAGACGATCCAGTGATCAACATCAAGAGCTTAGATCTTCAAGTTGGGATTCGATGACGTTTCAACCATGCCAGCGTGCCTGACCTCCCAATTCTGTTTGTCGCCTCTTACGACAAAGCACGGGTTGCTGAAGACATAATGAAAATAGAAGTGTTAATTCCTTTTCCGTGAGATAATAAATATGTAGATACAGCTTAAACGTTGAACATTTCATTGATAACATATAGTTTTTATTGTTAACAACAGAAGGGAGATAACTCCTAAATTGTAACCATGGAAATGCAGGAATAGTGCGAAATATATTTGCTTCTTTAGGAGCAATCTACAGTAGATATAGTAAGCTACCTTTTGCCACACCGTTCTACCTTAATTGATTTGCTAAACAGATGTTGTACCATGTTTACAATGTGATGATAAAAGTAATTTCTCTTGCAGGACATATCAGCTGAGCTTGGTATAGATGATATTGACAGGATAAGCTTGTGTATGCAAAGCATCAAGGAAGAAATTAAAGAATGCAAGAAATATGAAGGGGTAATTCTAAATATCTGTCCTGAGTAACTAACATGCTTCTATCTAAAGGTCGTATTTTCTCCAATATTCACTTCCAATACTGGTGCTGTCTTAATTCAGCAAGAACTTACTCACTACATGTCTAGCATGGACAACAGTTTGTACCAATAATTTAGGAAGTGGTGCAGTATTATGTAAATAATGGATTTCTCCAACAACCGACATGATTCAAGATTGACACTATAACAAAAAGAAAATATTTTCATGTCTGCATCTGTACTCTTTCCACGTGACAAAAACTCTTTACCTTATCAGCTAAATCCAATGTATATAATGAAATTAACACTGGATTCATTGATTTTGTACACGGCATGCAAGGGGGGTGACTTACTTTGTATATAAATTTTAGTGGGGTGGGTGGGTCCACAGGGAGGTGTCACACTTAGAAACAGCGTTAGAATGTCAAGGCCATCTATGGCCGACAAGTGAGTATGATTGCTGATGGTGTTGGAGAAAATGCCTGCTTACTGTCGAGGAAATGATTTGTAGATGTTTCAATAAGTTTTTAGACTCGTTGAATGCCGCTGCTGATTGAATCTAGCCCTACATAGGTACTGTCAACGTGGCTGAAATTAATAAACGAATTTAAAAGGTGAGTTTTCGCTGTCTTGGCTGATCCATAACTTTTGAAATAATGATCCAATTGTGACCATTTATAGCTCATTTTGTAGGGAAATCATCTAGCTTTCGATCCATAAGCATCGACGGGGCCTTAAAAATAGTTGACGTGGTGAAATCAAACTTTGATGGAGGAGGGGATGGTTCCGTCGTTACATCCCTTTCCTTTTTATATAGTACTAGGGTAGGGTCTATATACCTATATGTCTTTCTAAAGCTGTTTCTAAGCGTGACCGCCCCTGTGGGTGGGTCATTCACATTGTACAAGCTTCTCAATAAAAATCATCTCTCACTCACTCACTCTCACTCTCACTCTCACTCACACTCACTCCTCTCTCTCACTCACACACACACACACACACACACACACACACACACACACACACACACACACACACACACATCTAACCATAAATTATGAACAGTCCCTTATGTTATATATCTGAAATAGGGAATCAACAGTGATTTGGCTGTTGAAAGTCACCTGAAATTCTGCATCATGATTGTGGAATAATGGTCCAACTTTCTCTTCACTCGTTTTACAGTATTTCAAACGTATTCACAACATTGTACAAGCTGTGGAACGAGGAAGCCAGGGTAGTCGAGGTCAGAGATCCAGCCCCAAGAACCACATGACGCTGACAGACAAGAGTCTGCAACATGATATGTTTGTTGTGGAGAGCTGGAGCCAAGATATTTCTTCAATGCAGGTAAAGGGCAGCTGGTTAGCTTGGATAAGGTTATCATGAGCTTTTGAATTTGTGAGTGTGTGTGGTAGTGGTGTCATTTAATGATTTCAGTGTGGTAATGGAAATGTCATATGATGCTGCGGTGTGGTGTGATGGTGTGCCGGGTGTGTTGTGATGTGGTTGCATGATGTGATGGTGTGTATTGGAGGTGTGGTGTGATGTTGTATTTTATGGTGTAATGTCAAGTGGCTTTTTATGATGTGATGTGATGTGATGTTGTGGTGTGATGTGATATGGGTAATGTGGTGGTATGTTGAAGTGTGATGTTATGATATGATATGATGTGGTGTGGTGTGATGTGATATGGGTGATGTGGTGGTACGTTGTAGTGTGATGTTATGATATGATGTGGTGTGGTGTGATGTGATATGGGTGATGTGGTATGTTGAAGTTTGATGTTATGATATGATGTGGTGTGGTGTGATGTGATATGGGTGATGTGGTGGTATGTTGAAGTTTGATGTTATGATATGATGTGGTGTGATGTGATATGGGTGATGTGGTGGTATACTGAAGTGTGATGTTATGATATGATGTGGTGATGTTAGGGTGTGATGCGGTGACTGTTGTGAGATGTATTGATGTGGTGCAGTAAAAGAAGACAGAAATGCGTCATACCATCACTTTCCTAACCATCAGTCATGTCAGTAACCACAACTATACAGGGCGGTGGGATAGCCTAGTGGTTAAAGCGTTTGCTCGTCACGCCCAAGACCCGGGTTCGATTCCTCACATGGGCACACTGTGTGAAGCTCATTTCTGGCATCCCCTGCCGTGATATTGCTGGAATATTGCTAAAAGCGGCGTAAAAACCATACTCACTCATACCACTATACAGTATACAGAGAGATGTAGCCCAACACAATGTATCTCTCCAACAGGAGCTCCAGTTGACCATGAACTCATTGCTAGACAGGCTGGCCCCATGGGCAAAGATCCATTTCACTGGAGGTCACAGTGTTGAGGAAATAATTGAGACACTTGAAAATGTCGCTGCACAGGAGGGCTCCAGTGTTAAGAGGGTAAGTGTCTGCATTTGACAACTTGAGCTTTATCAAGAACTCGTAAGGTAATATAAGATGCAGAATATCCTTAATTACAAGAGCCACACACAGATTACAGTCTACATGAAAGACCTGAATCTAAAACTTGTACCCTGGCATCTCAGTCAGTAGATTTTAGTGTTGATATATACACACTTAGATGAGTTACAGATAATTTTGGGGTACTAGATTAGGGTTTCAGTAAACAAAGATAAATGGTTAGAGAAGACAGTTCTGTTGAAGGCTCTCCACAAAGCACTCTCATTACAACAGCTGTTGGGGTGGTGGGGTAACCTAGTGATTAAAGCATTCGCTCGTCATGCCGAAGATCTGGGTTCGATCCCCCAAATGGGTACATTGTGTGTCCCCCGCCGTGATATTGCTGGAATATTGTTAAAAGCAGTGTAAAACCAAACTCACTCACTCACTACATCAGCTGTAAAAAAATCTCTGTTAGGATATTGAAGTTGAGATTGCTGTGTGGAATGTGGAATGATGCCAGACTGTTAATTTAGATTTCATATTTTTGTTTCATTTTTTCAGGATGGTCAAGAACACCCTTCAAGGGCAGAAATGGAAAATATCATGGAACACTTTATGACCCTGTTCGATGTTCCGACTGTGGCTGGTGTCTTCCCCAGAATGACAGAACTCTACACAAAGCTTGGCGAGGTCCATAATGTCATGAACTCCCTGAGGAACATACTTTCTCTAAGTGAGAAGCTCTTGTTTCTTATGTCTGATAACTGTGTTTTCAGACTTCATTTCTGAAGAGTAGTACAGAAAGGCTTTATTTATTGGTTTATGCCAGTTTGGGCCAGTATTGCCCTGAGGCAGAAAAGAAACTTTAAGCCAATTTTTTAGGTTAATTTATAAAGAAAAAGGTATAAATGCAAATGTTTTGACACAGTACAAACTACAGCATCATCTTACAAACATATTTTCAAAGCAGCATATACTTGTTTTTATCTGGGCATATTTGTCAGCCTTCTTCTGAATTTAATGAAGGAAATAAAGGCTGATTTGGTTCAACCCATTTCAATGCCCTCTTTCACCCTGTTGAACGAATGCTGAATGCATGACCACATAACATAGGAACAACTTCCCGGTTTACCTGACAAGGGCAGCAGAGCAGGTTGAAGTGCTTTTGAACAATAGAACTTCAAATTTAGCAAGCTGAGTCATGGTATCTTGGTTTTAAGAGTAGTCATCAATCAGTCTAATGTTACCAGGCTGTCCATCTTTAAAGCAAGATTTAGCATATTGTAAAGACTTGTAGTAAAGAAAAAATAACTGGAACAATGTTAGTGTACACTGCAAAATTTATGATCCCAATTATTAGGAGCCGCTTGTTGGTTTTCTCTGCAGTAACAGGATGATCCTAATTTAAAATTAATTACCCTTTCCATCACCCTCACCCCTCCTTCATTCCTCACCCCTCGAGACACTTCCAACCCTCCAACCCACACACCACACCCGTCATTTCTGTTCCCTTACCCCTCAAACTCATCCCTCTCCCCCCATTTCTGGTGTCCCCCGCCGTGATATTCCTGGAATATTGCTAAAAGCGGCGTAAAACTAAACTCAGTCAGTCATCCCTCTCCCCCTTCATCCCCCACCCCACATCCCACACCTTCTTCCAGATATCTGACCCGTGATCCATCACTCCTCTCCCTCTCATCCCCATCCCACACCCTACACCTTCATCCACATATCTGACCCCTCATCAACCCCTCTCCCCACTCATCCCCACCCCACACCCATTCACATATCTGACCCCTCATCCATCACCCCTCTTCCCTAATCCTGACTTCATACCTTACCCCTCACACTCATTCTCATCCCCACCCCACATCCCACACATTCATCCACATATCTGACCCCTCATCCATCACCTGTCTCCCTCATATCCCCCACCCACACCCTACACCCTCATTCACATATTGGACCCCTCATCCATCACCCCTCATCCCTAATCCTGACTTCATCCCTTACCCCTCACTCATCTTCTCCCCTCATCCCCCCACCCTACATCCCACATCCTCATTCACATATCTGATCCCTCATCCATCACCCCTCTCCCCACTCATACCCCACCCTACACATTCATCCACATATCTGACCCTCATCCATCATCCCTCCCCCTCATCCCCCACCCCACATCCCACACCTTCATCCACATATCTGACCCCTCATCCATCACCCCTCATCCCCCATCCCACATCCCACACCTTCATCCACATATCTGACCCTCATCCATCACCCCTCATCCCCCACCCCACATCCCACACACCTTCATCCCACATATCTGTCCCCTCATCCATCACCCTCATCCCCCAACCCACATCCCACACCTTCATCCACATATCTGTCCCTCATCCATCACCCCTCATCCCCCACCCCACATCCCACACCTTCATCCACATATCTGTCCCCTCATCCATCACCCCTCATCCCCCACCCCACATACCACACCTTCATCCACATATCTGTCCCCAACCTCATCCCCCATCTCAAATCCCACACCTTCATCCACATATCTGACCCCTCATCCATCACCCCTCATCCCTAATCCTGACTTCATCCCTTACCCTCATTGCTCACCCCTCACCCTCTCTTATTTTGCATCCTCATTCTCCTCATCCTCAACCCTCCCCCCTTGTCCCTCACCGCTTTAACATTATTGAATCTGTGTCAATATATACTCCGATTTCAGGAAAATATGAACATGCAAAATATTCCAATTTTGGAACCAAATAATTTCTTATTGCTAGTTAGCATTCCTGGGTTTGGAATCAGAAAGAAATCCCAAAACTACAATGGTTCTCCTTTGCCAAGTATAAGTGGATCATCTTTATGTGACAGAAGAGCAATAACACTGTGCTGCGTTAAATCTGAGGGTTGCTTTTTAAAAATAACACTGACTCAATTTGTTTGCATGCCAAGAGCTGCTTCTTTGTCCTTTACATGGGAGTTTGGCAGCTACAAGCTATCTGTTACTGTTATCTGTTACAGTGTTCCCTGGGGCAGTGGGGTAGCTTAATGGTTAAAGCGTTGGCTCGTCACGCCAAAGACCCGGGTTCGAATCCCCACATGGGTACAATGTGTGAAGCCTATTTCTGGTGTCCCCCGCCATGATGTTGCTGGAATATTGCTAAAAGCGGCGTAAAACCAAACTCAGTCATTCAGTACAGTGTTCCCTAGAAAGACTCATTGTGAGCATGGGTCATTTTGACTATACAGATGACATGAAATATCTAGGACTCCAATGAGCCCTGGGCAGGCATATTGAGCAAAAATCAGTATATCAAACTTGGGAGTTTTTTTAAAATTCTTTTTTGAAGTGTTATAACAGTGCTTTCACTTAAGTATTGTTCAACAGAGCATTAGAGTCTGTTAACTAATTGATAGTTTTATCAATGAAACTTAGGTGACCTTGACAAAGCCATCACATTAGTTTTAACTCTATTGACAACAATGGGGAAATCTCATTCCCAGTTTGTGAATGTTCACTGACATTTGCTGTAGACTGAAGGCTGAATTCTGGCTGTTAGACAGGTCCAAGTAAATTCAAGGATGGTTAGGTTTGAGACTATCATATGTATTTCAATATCAACGTGACATTTTGAAATATTTTGTACTTGGTCTCAGTTACACAACATGTGTGGGGCAGTGGGGTAACTATGGGCTAAAGCTATAAAACCAGCTTAAGTCTGGGCAGTACAAGCAGCCGCACATACACATACACACACACCCGGTTTGATTCTCCGCATGGATACACTATGACTGAAGCCAATTTCTGGTGTATTGGGGTAGCCTGCTGTGATATTGCTGGAATATTGCTAAAAGCAGGCATTAAACAACACTCATTCACTCACTCACTCGCTCACTCACTCATTCACAACATGTGTGCGCTTGATTAAGTCATCTCTGTAATATGTTGCAGGAAAACTGTGAAAGAATGTCGCATGCATATTCATGATATATCCCCCTACAGGATATACTGAACTATGACTAAATGGATACATGTTCTTTGGTAACATAGCCTGAGATGTATAAGCTACCATAATGTCATAGTGGGAAGCTGGTGGTAACCATGGTTACCAGAACCATATCGGGCTGAATAATAATAACCAAGACTTTTGGTTTCCGTCAATTATTTTATATTTTTTCTGCAAGAATGCATTATGCTTCTAAACATGTGGAAGGGAAAATGAGATATTTCATGTTGTTATGAAATGGAATTATGACTTATTGCATTTCATTCCATTTTACATAATGTAGAAGGAATCTTAATATGATTCAGTACTTTCAATAGAATTAACTGCTGGCATGAAACGAACAAAGAATGGCATCAAAAGATATAAGTATTTGGTAGGGGTGGGTATTGCAGGGAATTTTCATATTACGATATATTGCGATGCGAAAGCATATATTGCGATATGTATTGCAATATATTGCAAGAAGTCTTTTTAAACAAAAAAAACCCTACATATAATCTAGTTAATGCTTGGTTCATAAAGCAAAAACACAACAAAATCACAATGCTTGATTAAACTTAATAAAAAAACCTTTTAATCATGACAAAATATAAATGTAAATAATATTTCGCACAAATGAAACAAGGAAATATTCGAAGATTTCCGAGTGTTACGATGTTTTCCGAATGCATGTAAAAATACTGGTTTTCGATCAGCGTATCGCAATACGTATCGTTTTCATGTCTGAACCGGTAAATACCTGAAAACCGGTTATATTGCGCAGCCCTAGTATTTGGTCACATTTATTCCTCACATTGACACTCAGGAAGTCCATATCAAACTTTGAGTAGTATATAGTTGGATTAAGGTGCGTCTGGCATGCATGCAGAGAAGTTAAGTTGAAGGCATTCTAATAAGGAAGTCAGGAATAGCTTGAATTGAAGCTGGGACAGGTAGATCCGGTACTCGGTTAGGAATTTTCCTGCATAGGACCTGGATATGCCCAGGACTGCCCGACCCGTGATAAGTCATGTGATATTTTGTTTAAGTAGAGTAACAAATAAACTCCATGGTTGCACGACAAGGTTGCACTTTGTGTTTGAATACAGATAAGCTGCAGGTGACTGCATTGTATGTTTAGTCAGATAATTATATTTGTGTATCTACTTACTTTTTTGCCAGAGCTCTGGTAAATCGATTCCCTGTTGTATATTTTATACCCTGCATGTCATGTACAAAATCAATAACCCCCCTCCCCTTCCAACAATTTCTAAGCATAATTTTAAACATATTTTTATGTACAAAATTGCTGCCTGCCCCCCCTCACCCCTGTATTTTGTGTACAAAATTGATGAGCCCTAGCTCCCCAGAACAAAATGGGTGACCCCCCTTAAAATCATCATCACCCCCCTAGCCATAAATTATTAACGGTCCCTTATAGATAGTAAAATTATTTTTTTTGCATATCTGTTGCAATGAGATTAATTCGTTGTGGAAGAACTCCGGGGCAAGTTATGTTGGTAATAATAGGCAGCTTAAGGGATCATGTAGTTTGGCTGTGTGACTTTGTTGATGGCAAGTGGTCAGAACAGGCCTTGAGGGATTATTGCTTATAATATCACACACTGAATACCCCATCCTGATTGGTATTTATAGGCTGCTGTCATACAGCTGGAAGATTGTTGAGTGTTATGTTCAACAACAAGAAAGCATAACATATGTTATATTTGGGATTACACTTTCTTAGTAAAGTACCGATTCTAGTACTTATTTTGGGTGAGTCTTATCCTGGATTTGAACCCACACCCTCAGAGTCAGGCACAAAGTCAGATGCCTAACCCGCTCAGCCACCGCGGCTTCCTCAAAAAATGGAAGTCTGACAACTGGTAGTCTTGACTGCGGAATTTGTGTACCCCTCTGATAAGTGTAAATTGGCACGTCTCCCATGGCCGAGAGCTATGATTGCACAATGACATTTAGAATATGCATCTGACTTTGTGTGCTGGCAATTAGGTGCCTGACTCTGTGGGTGTGGGTTCGAATCCCAGATGGGACTATTCTCCACATCAATATCTGGCTATGGGTGTTGTTTTGATCGTATCTTGTCTTTTTCCAGCGTCTACTGAAAATGTTGTCCTCAACCTATGTTACAATTTGCATGTAAATATCTTTTCTTTGTGTGTGTAGCGGAGTAGGCTGACTCATGTAATAAAGTTTGCTCCTTGTGCTGAGGTCTCGAGTTCGATGATCGATTGGAAAATTTGGAATCCCATTCTTGGTGTCCCCGGACAAAATATTGCTGTGGGTCCCAATCCACAAAGCGTTCATAGCATTATGAGCTATCATAACCGTAGAGCTTATTTCATTGCTACGAATGCTTTGTGGGACAGGTCCCTGGAATATTGTTTAGAGCTGCATTAAACCATATGTCTGTGTTGAGTGTATATATTGTTGTGTTGAAGGTGATGACAGCAAATCGTCAGCTGTAGTGGACTCTGTAGGGCGGCTGTGTCAGGCACACAACTCCACCACTGCCAAACAGCTCAAGCAACTGCTGCAGACAGACGACCTTGATGGGTGAGGAGACCTATGGCTCACTGAGCCTCATACTGCTTTCAACTGTATTTCATAGTTGAAAGGGGCAGTGGGGTAGCCTAGTGGTTAAAGCGGTCGTTCGTCATGCCGAAGCTCCAAGTTTGATTCCCCACATGGGTACAATGTGTGAAGCCCATTTCTGGGGTCCCCCGCCGTGATATTGCAGGAATATTGCTAAAAGCAGCATAAACCCAACTCACTCACTCACTCACTCACTCACTCAGAGTCGAAAGTAATGCACATTATCAACACGGATGTTTAGGCATGAGCATACACATGGTGCAACACCAAGGATTGGAGATAAATGGAGAATAGTTGAGCTGTGAAGATGTCTGAATTATCGGTCCCCAGTTAAAGAATGGCTGTCATTGACAACATATATTCTGTATATTTCCCATAGACTTATACTTTAAAGAAAGAAAATGAGTATGTATGCAGTGTCTGTTCTACAGAGAAACTTCACTGATGGCAGCCATTTGTTCATTACATTTTATAAATTTGTGACAACATGACATCTTGAAAACTGGATCACATCATATTATTTGTTTCTGACTGATAAATCACAGGGAAGCCACAGTTTCTGCCTACCAATCTGCACCGAAAATATTTAAAATGCAAACCTACAAATATCAGATTTCTCAACCTTTATGGGTAATATTCTGGGATTTATACAAGGGGCTCTTAACATGGACAAGGGCCATCATGAATAATGCTATGACATCACGTTTCTTCTATGATTTTTGTGTTCTACATGCGGCAACGGCCAGCCTATATTTGAAAGTAGATTTGGGTTTATTTTCCTCAATTTGACGACTTCGGTAATAAATAAGAACATTATATTCGTGCCCATATCATATTATGTTTACGACACGTGCCTAAATGTCGATATATCTCTCGCTCGGGAAATACCAACATTTAGGCACTTGTGTCGTGAACATAGTATGAGATGTCCACTCATATAATATCCTCTATATAGTACCTGCTTTACTTCTAAAGTAAAAGGGGCCGTGGGGTAGCGTAGTGGTTAAAGCGTTCGACGCCACGCCGAAGACCCGGGTTCGATTCCCAACATGGGTACAATATGGGAAGCCCATTTCTGGTGTCCCCCGCCGTGATATAGCTGGAATATTGCTAAAAGCGGCGTAAAACTAAACTCACTCACTCTAAAGTAAAAAGTTTGCTTGTGGTGAACTTGGCATTGTCATGTCAATATGGTGCATTGACAGTTATAGATAGGATAGCTCTAAATACATAACATCAAACCCCTAGCAACGAGCACTGTGTGTTTGAGTGTGATTATAAACCATGACATGACAGATTAACTGGAGGGAAAATAAGGAAGCAAGTGTTGTGTAGCTTCTTCTGAGTAGTAACAGTTTGTGAGTGATGATCATGAGGTTGTAAGTTTCTGTTAGCAGAATATTAATTATGTTGAATTGTAGACAACAGAATAGGAGCTGATGTCGCGTCACTATGTTTGCTCACATTGCCTGATGTATCCATTTACAGAGTAATACGACGACTAGATGAACACAGGAAGTTCTTCCCACCATTTCAGGAACTCACAAAGAAGCTGCTGCAGATATTAGGTAATTATGTTATGATCTGTTTAAAGCAAATTTGAGTGATATGAGTGGTGGAATCTGATAGGTCAATAGAAGGCACATATGTTGTAATAGCCACTGATGGTGCAACAAGTGAATCCAGCCAAGTTTGGCAAACTGTACTTTTATACTTAATGAACTCTATTGCCTCTTGAAGATGGATGAAAAGAGTGGACAGGTAGCACAGTGATTGACAACCTAGTCTGGCTTTTTATTATTTATTATAGGTGAAAATGGTGTCCTCATACACATAAACGAATATGATACAGAAAACTGACATCTATTTCATTAAAGAAGTACTGCCACCATATAGCTGGAATATTGCTGAGTGTGGCATAAAGCTAAACTGACTCACTCATTAAAGAAGTTATAAACTGTATCATCTGAACAGTAATTTCAGTATTTAAATTTGTCTGATTCAGGTATAGAGAGGCTGGATCAGATCGTCCCTGCAGTCCGAGCCCTCAAGATGTTATCTCACTGATCCCAAAGGCATCAGCCCCAAGTTCCGTCCTCTATGCACAAACTGGGGACTCTGGATATCTCATTCATAGAAAATTTAAATCAGAGTCCTTTTTGTAGTCAAACTTTCTCTCTTTTGAGATTAAGTCATATCATGATTATACAGTGTACCATCTGTCTTATTTTGTTATGACAAATCCTTAGACCTGTTTGCTAACATAGCTTCTTTGACACAGTTTCTTCATTCATGACGTTACAATCATCAAATGACAAGGCATTATCCTTATAAATGATCTGTTAGATGAAAAAACTACTCTTTCGTTGTCCCAGTTATACCTGAGATGGCACAAGGTATGTTCAGTATTGGCAGTATCAGAGCTTGTTCACATAATGAAAGAACACCCAAGCTGGAGTGGATGGCCCTTCAAGCGTTAAAAAGAAAAGCTATACATTTGTTGTACAAGCAAATGGGTCTGGAGTATTGTCATAACAACAGTGATATATGCAGTGACATTGTAGCAGATTTTTGTTGTAAATGTCACACACAATACTGATAGCAGCATACAGAAAATGTCTAATGTTATGGTAAATACAATATAAATTATAAAATACCAACAATCTTTTGTTTGCTCCTGCCTTGACTTTACCCGATGGCACATTTGTCAATGCTATTTGTGAACAGGATGGCATTATTTCCTGAAACCTGTACCTTCAGAATGTCTGGTGCCGATACTCAGGACAAAACAGTATGCAGTGAATAACTGTAGTTAGTAGGCGACACACATCAAACAGGACAGTCACTAAACACTTATACAGGATAGGATACATGCCTCATGATACAATGTGTATCATGGTACATATGTTTCAATGTAGTCGCTTAGTATGTCATATCTGAGTTTGGAAGTATAACACTCAATTCTATGATGAATAATTATAAGCTTCAGTTTAGCCAGAAGTTAGGAAAATATTCGATAGCATCAATAAGTAAGCTTACGTGTAGCGGTAAAATGTATCTGCTTTTTCGTACTATTTTTCAGGTTATAGTGTCCAGACTCAAAATGAGATATCATATATTGTCTCAAATATAGACAAATATCACTTGTTGATATTCCAATGAATCATTACTTCCCTCTCAGAATTGTTTGTAGATGATGGTCAGTAAGAAAACAATACCCAAAGGCAGCACTTTCACAGTATATTTCTTGAATGATAAAGGATGTTGCTTGTAGAACCTTTTCAGATACTATGCAGTTGAACCTGACACAATTCACATGTATAGTGAGTGATAAAACTACATCAGCTATGAATTCCACACATATACACAAAGTGAGAAAATGTCATTGTTAAGTTATGGTGTGATCAATAGATTGATCATCCTCGATAATCTCCAGGGTATACATTACGATAACTCTCCACTATACCCTGGATGCATCCACAGCTTGTGGGGCGATGATTTTATTACCTCCCTTGGCTGGCTTTTTATCCAATCATGTGCCTACGCTTGGGAAGTTGAGCGTACCAATCACAACTCACTTTCGCTTCTTAAATTATCTAACCGTTTAAACTTGGCAACAAAATTGATGCAGAGGTAATCTGAAAGAAGTAGAAGGAGTTCAGTCATATTTTCTTAAAGTTTCAGATCTGTCAATTTGTCTTTATTATTTCCCAAAAAATCTGAGTGGCACTGCGAACAAACCTTCGCGACTGCGACCGCTATTTTTGTTGACACTGGCAAGCTCGGTTGTAACGGTGGCTTAGCTGATTGGCTACTGTGAGAATGTGGAGCCAGCCGAGGGAGGTAATAAAATCATCGCCCCAAGCCGTGGATGCATCCAGGGTATAGTGGAGAGTTATCGTAACGTATACCCTGGAGATTATCGAGGATGTAGATCCATGAATGTCATTGTATCCCATTTGCATTGATTGATGCTCATGATGTCAATCACTAGATTGAGTGGTCCATATTTGAAAATTTATAGACCACCCAAACAGCGTAAAAGATTGCTGAGTGATGTGTTTAAGAACAAACAAACAGTCATACAAAAAGGTTCAGCTACATATGTATCATGTATGTATCATTTGTAGTCATATTCTGTTGGTACATTGATGTTTAGTGTTTATGTTCCAGGGTTCGAAATACCCCATATATTAGTGTGCCATGGCACAGTAAATATTGAAATGGCACGGCTGAAAAATGTTCTCTGTGCCCTTTTGACACGCTTAATTTTCTAGACACATAACTCACATTCAGTCATTTAATCCCTAAAACAATTATTGTTTTTCCAAACTGAATAATACCATACATATTTGAATGCTCATAAACCCATTTCTTTATTTAACAATAAATTTCAAATGATCATCATCATTGTCATTTATTCTAAAAACATGTGGGCATACTTGATTTCTGAAAGGCACACCTAAAATATTTGTCTGGTGCCCTTAGGCACACTTAGAAAAAAAAGTATTTCTATCCCTGTGTTCTCTATTTGTACATATTTCACATATTAAATTATTATTTTTAGTTAGAGTTGTTACTTTTATGTTTGATATATGTGTTGTGTATTGTCATCTTTTAAGGTGCTTACAGTGATCTATTCAGGAATCTTACCTCAGTGCCCAAAGGGGAAAATTGTGATGAAAATGTGTTTGTCCAATTATTGTGAGGTTTTGACGGTCTTATCGTGAGAGGTATTTCCACATTACAACTTAATAATATTAAACTAAGTTATGCCATCTTGATTTTGTTGTGATTCTCATCTCCAACCTCAACCAGCAAGAGAGTATAAAAAGAATATGTAAAGAATTAAGAATATGTTTTCACCAATTGTGTAACATATTTTACTAAATTTGAAGTTTAGATCACCTGCTAATGGTCTTTAAATTAATTTATTATGAAGATAATTTTGCATTTAGACACTTTGCTTTGGAAACAGTCTTTAAAAAAATATAGATGAAGAAAGGTCAAGCTGACCAGGGTTTTTTGATGAGGTATGAGTAAATGTTGTTTTTAATCACAGCAGAGCATAAATTTCTTTGGTGGAGGGAAGACTGAGCTTAGAAAACTTTGAAGTATTTCTAAATTTGGGGCGAGCAGGAGAGAAACACAGAACCAAATATGGACAACCTAACATATGTCCAAAGCTGTAACCTTTTTAAGTTACACACGTATAGTATTTCCAAACTATGTCATTTTGAATACTCTTTGTGAATTTTTACAATTCACTGGAGATATGGGACCAGATCATAGTGTTAGGGAAAACAAAGATGATTCTCTGGCAAAGCTACATGTCATTGTCAATTTCGGTGTTTACATGGTCTTAACTTTTCTTTATGATCAGTTAACTGTTCATTAAGAAAACGTTTTTAATAGTGGTGTATACACAAATATAAGATTACAAAACAAAGAATGTGCCATTGTGAATCTTTAGACAACATACATATGATCTGATATTACACATATATTCGTTATATTATTTCTTTGATTTTCACATCAGTTGATGACTGTTTTACAGGCTTTTCTTCAGTTAGCCACAGTTTATAAAACAACAAGCATGTAGATCAGAAAGTCTGATTTTCTTACAAAATGCTCATAGTGAATCTGTCAAGATGGCAAACACCATAAACTACATTTTACTCTGTACTATTAAAAGGATTTAAGCCTAAGGTGTTGTCCTTTATTTTTTCATTCTTGGTTTACTTTGATTTGAGCCTGCTCTCAATTCTTCGATTTGTCCCTTATCTCTCTACTGCTGAATTTGTCAAGACCCAGGACCTGACAAATGATCTGACATTAGTTAGGAGATGTCAGTGATGTGTGTGAATATCTTGCTTGTAAGAGGGCTCAGAGCTGTATATCAGTTATGACTCATATATTCATAATACAACTGAACAAATATTGTGTTTTGAAACATATCATACAGCTGGCTATAAATATTCTGCAGATTCTATTTGATTGTGTTTATGTTAGAAAGGACGCCACAACATTCTTCCATGCACGCAGCCTGAATTCAATAAGCGTTGCACAGTGGACGAGATTTTTACAACATATTGAATTACTTCCAGGGATCATACTTGTTGTGCAGTCTCCCTTACAATTGCCTCCTTATCTGTCAAAACACTACCAGCCAGACTGTTTTTATATACTGACAATGCATTTATGGACAGAATAGTTACATGTACTTCTCTCTATCTTAGCCTGTAATGAGCTATACATCTTTCATTTAACTATCGTAAATAGTTACAAAATTCCGCTTTTATCAGGAGTGCTATTCATTCTTTGGTGAATGTTGTATTAAATTTCAATGCATGAGTGCTCCTTTAGTTGCACCTGCTGTAATAGGTTACCCCGGGTAGTTTTATGTAAGTAATGACGAAGCATAGTTATTGTCAGTTGCATCAAAACTTTAATTGTCTATGGTTAAGATTACAGTCTTGACATGACACTGTTGTCTGTCCTAGGTACATTCAAACAATTGCGTAATTGAGATTGTACAAGTGCACTCATAAAAATATTTGTAGGATTGCATCTGATTAAGGCTCACTCACGTCAGCCAACACTATAAATATGCCTAGAATGTCAGGTGTGCATGCGTCGGTATATGAGATGTGCAGTGGTTTGAATAAGCTATTGTTATGGTCATGCGGATGTTTCTGGACTGTATAAGTTTAGTTTAACTGAAACGAATGTCCTGACTGAATCTGAGTGTATTTGTGTCTGTTCGTGTAGCTCATCAGAAGAATGTGTGGAATAAGTTTGTTTGTTAATGCAGATTTAGTCTGTCTCACAGTCCCTGAACCACATTATTGTCCCAACTGCCTAGCCCTCTCTGCAATGCTGAAGCCCTAAATTAAGCAAGTCTAGATTGAATCTCCCATCTCACTGGGGCTCTATTTCAGTTTAAATGGGTTTATTTGTTACTATCAAAATTATATGTATATTCAGAGACTAAGCGCCTGTTGTCTAGTGGATAGAGCGTCTGCCTGGAGGGTGGATAGTCGGTGGTTCGATCGTGACTGTTATAAAGATACTTTTTGTGTCCTTGCCTAGCGATCAGCGTTAAGGGGATAAAACAAGGATAGAAGAGGCTGAGAGTCGATGTGCGGTGTCGGACAGGGCGTCAGTGTGAAAATTACGGCATTGTGTATCGATCATCTTGCACTGTAGAACCTGGTCGTTCCTCTTCCTATCTAAGCAACGGATGGCCATATATGATAAGGGGCCCTATCCACAAAGCATTCGTAGCACTACATCATAGGCTAATGATATAGTATGGAGTATGATAGGTCGTAACGTTACGAACACTTTGTGGATCGAGACCCTGATCGTATGTTAATTGTAGGATCCCAGAGAGAAGGGATTAATGCAGGATGAGAGAACAGTTTTCTATGACAGAGAGCGAGTTTAAGTACCACGTGCCGGTTATATACAGTACAACCAGAAATTATTGAGAATTTAAAGATTGTAATTCTTTAATTTTTTTCACTCATTACTCGCGTATTAAATGTGAATATTAGCAGAACATAACTCCAGATTCAAAGACAGGTGAACAGTTAGTATTTTGTCAAGTCACCATGGGCAGCAATGCAGGCTTCAATGCGGCGGGGCATACTACTGATCAAAGAAGTTAGAAAGTCGCGGTCCATGCTGTCCCAATATCGGACCACCTCTTCTTTCATTTCAGCAATATTTGTCAGATCTTTCTTATTGACACTTTCCTTCATAAGTCCCCAAACATTTTCTATTGAATTTAGGTCAGGGCTATAGCTTGACCAATCTAATAATGTCATATTTTGGGTCCGAAACCAGGCCTGTGAATGCTTTCCACGATGTTTTGGGTCGTTGTCATGCTGGAAAATCCAAACATTTCCATAGAACACGTGAGCAGATGGAAGTAAATGTCCCTCGAGAATATCTGTGTACCGCTCACTGTTCATATTCCCTTCAAATACACAGAGGGGCGTTGCCCCTAACACAGATATGCCACCCCACACGTTAAATTTCGGACTGTACTTTGGGCGCTGATACAAAGGTTTTTCAGTTTGTTTGGTCCAGAATTTCAGTGTATTAGGAAACAGCCACACAGAACTTTCATCTGAGAAAATCACATTGTCCCAGTTAAAATTACTATGCTTTCTAAACTCCTTCGTTTGTTTTTAGAAACAAAAATACCAAGCCGCCTCCTGTCACCAACAGTCAATTTTCTGGGCCTACCTGCGCCTCCCTGGTGCTCAATGCCATATCCATTTGCACTATTTTTCAAAACACGATAAACAGTGGACAATGGGATGCCTGTTCTACTTGAAATCACTTTAGCTGATCTGATGACAGATGTCCTTGTTATAATACTCTAAAATCAACTTCCTCTTCTCTAAATCATCCATACACACTCCGGCACAGCGATGACTTAACATAACATCACTGCCACAGGCTAATCTGCATATCACGTGACCGGACCTTTCTCTTGTTTGTAATCAAACGCGCATATTCATAATAAGAAGAGACTGGACTCACGAAAGCTTTTAGGCGCTCTCTTCATATTATTTTACATTGTTACTTATATATTCTTCCACAACTGCGACAGTAAGGTCTATGACAGTACATATTTAGATATCAAACTGGCTGCATCGTTTGCTCTCCATCAGCTTCGATGACAGCACGTGGAGCCGTACAACCTATGTAAACAAAGGATCGCTACGCAAATCGAAACAGTGTTACATGTTTTTGGATATTTTCTCAGTGAAACTAAACCATTCTATTAAAGATGTTTAGTTAGATGTGTAGACTCGTCAAAATAAAAGAGTTAAAGAAATTTGTACATTATATTGAATGGAATGTGACGAATCGTCACATTTTCCTGGCCTGTGGTAGAGATACTATGCTGGCTTGCCGCATGGAACTCTGGGTAGGAGAGTGTCATCCATACTGAGGATCACTGAAAATGTCGTCTGCTGGCAAGTAAACAAAGGGGATAACTCTTCACAAACTAATGAAAAAGGATTAACGGAGTTGTCTCTCTTGAATGAAACCAAACACTTGATAGCTGGTCAAGGTTGTTTATACTAGAAATCCAATTAAACATATTCCTAAAATTCTCAATAATTTCTGGTCATACTATATATCGCTTGTCGTTGAACGAAAGGTTCAATCTGAAGACTGCTTTTTGGTGAATCAGACGATGGGAACATTCCAAATGGTAATGGTGAACTCGACAGATTCCACATAAGAGATAAAAGGCCTAATTCATTCCTCACAGAGCAGGTTGATCGTGATACACTGATAAGAGTGGTATTTTGTTTTACCTTGAACTGTCTTCTAGGTTGTGAAGGCAGTACCTATCTGAACCACATGTTAAGTTTACTACAAACGAAAGCCCATAGTAGGTGCGTTTCCGTTATATGTATTTCTTGTTACAGATGGCTTTAAAAGGTATTTGATAAAGAACAATGTGTTCGCAACATTTGTCAATGGAAGTTTGGGCGTTATATAGAAGGATTTGGAATTGCAGACAATATATCATACTGACTGACTGACTGAGTTTGGTTTTACGCCTCTTTTAGCAATATTCCAGCAACATCACGGCGGGGGACACCAGAAATGGGCTTCACACATTGTACCCATGTGGGGATTCGAACCCAGGTCTTCGGCGTGACGAGCCAACGCTTTAACCACTAGGCTACCCAACCGCCCCAGACAATATATCACAGCTCAGCTCGGTTATATATCAGTGTGCAGTGTGGGCAATATATCTGTGAAGAGTGTTGGCATCATGTCGGTAAACAGTTTGGGCAGTATATCTGTGAACAGCGCTGTATGTATATATATACATAATATCGTTAGTGGTTTGGGCAAAATATCCATGAACGGTATTAGCAATTTATCGGTGAAGAGTGCTGGCGATATATCGGTGAAGTGTTTTGACAATACATGGGTGAACAGTGCTGGTGACATATCGTTAAATGGATTTGGCAATGTATATGTGGATGGTTTGGGCAATATGTCGGTGAATGATTGTGGCAGTATGTCGGTGAACAGTACTGTCAATATATCAAGAGTAACTTTCTTAGAAATCACAAACATTATCCTCAAATACATGTGACGGAGAATACGAGATTGTTCATCCAACTATTGAAATGTGATGTATTCACGGCCGACAATTCATCACGAGACATTTTTTAACCCGTGCCTGAGCTACCGACCGTCCAATGATTACTTTATGATAATGCATCTAGAACGTTGTTCTCGTCTTTAGAACGTATCGCACAAACGCTTGACATTAATATCTTCAGTCTTATATTCCAAGATGATGAGGTCAAAATGCCGACATTTATTCTTTATTACATTTATGCTGGTCATAGATCACATTTGTTGTCTCAAACCCAGGAGGTAAGTTAAACAACTTTATGGACTTAGTGACTTCGGAAATTCTGGTTCGCTTTAGATTTGTCATGGACTGTCTAGCAAGTGACCTATTTTAATTGAGAAGTTGACCTTGTACTCGCAAAATGACTTCATGAGTGTTGTTTCTATTTGTTTTAAAATGCATGGTGTTCATTTTTTACCGTATTCAATGCTTTCACGTCCCTGCTTTAGTATGCATTGGGACCTGAAGTTTAAATGTAATTTATTGCACAACAGGGAATATATGACATCTCCGTTTGTTGTTATTTTTGTTAAATTATATACCGAAAAACTTAATCTGGTTCAAGCGACGTGGAAAGGGATCCGTTTAAATACCCGGGTGCTGAATGCATCAAATGCTGATTTTCATTTGCTCTTTAACGTGTCATTATTGGGTTCAGAGATCTCACGGTGAACCTTTCCTTCAGCTGTACTTCAAAGAATGCCTACGTTACCATGGTTGTGGATGACGTCACAGCTATTGGTGCCATGGTTCTTCAACAATCTTTAAACAATACACAGACCGATCACTGCATTGTTGCCATGGTGACAGACTCAGTATCTTGGCTAATAAGGTGAAGTTACATCTATTAGTTTTTGTAAGATAATGAAAATGATGTGCATCCTTTCAAAATTAATTTCATAACATTATGTTTAGAGATTCATTACATTTCAACAATATACAGTCAGCCTGGTTCATACAGTCAGCTTGGTTCATACAGTCAGGATAACAAGACTTATTACATTTCAACAATATACAGTCAGCCTGGTTCATACAGTCAGGATAACAAGACTTATTACATTTCAACAATATACAGTCAGCCTGGTTCATACAGTCAGGATAACAAGACTTATTACATTTCAACAATATACAGTCAGCCTGGTTCATACAGGATAACAAGATACAGTCAGCCTGGTTATTACATTTCAACAATTACATTTCAACAATATACAGTCAGCCTGGTTCATACAGTCAGGATAACAAGACTTATTACATTTCAACAATATACAGTCAGCCTGGTTCATACAGTCAGGATAACAAGACTTATTACATTTCAACAATATACAGTCAGCCTGGTTCATACAGTCAGGATAACAAGACTTATTACATTTCAACAATATACAGTCAGCCTGGTTCATACAGTCAGGATAACAAGACTTATTACATTTCAACAATATACAGTCAGCCTGGTTCATACAGTCAGGATAACAAGACTTATTACATTTCAACAATATACTGTCAGCCTGGTTCATACAGTCAGGATAACAAGACTTATTACATTTCAACAATATACAGTCAGCCTGGTTCATACAGTCAGGATAACAAGACTTATTACATTTCAACAATATACTGTCAGCCTGGTTCATACAGTCAGGATAACAAGACTTATTACATTTCAACAATATACAGTCAGCCTGGTTCATACAGTCAGGATAACAAGACTTATTACATTTCAACAATATACAGTCAGCCTGGTTCATACAGTCAGCCTGGTTCATACAGTCAGCCTGGTTCATACAGTCAGCCTGGTTCATACAGTTATCCTGGATAACAAGACTAACTAGCAACAGTGAGTGAGTGAGTGAATTTAGTTTTACGCCGCTTTTAGCAATATTCCAGCAATATCACGGCGGGGGACACCAGAAATGGGCTTCACACATTGTACCCATGTGGGGAATCGAACCCGGGTCTTCGGCGTGACAAGCGAACGCTTTAACCACTAGGCTACCCCACCACCCCAACTAGTAAGAATGTTTAGACAACTGTTGGTGCTGTCGTCTTGAGCATTGAAAGTACAAACTATTGTCACTCCCAACTCATTTAAAGAGCAGTTGTGTCACTGTTATGTCTTCAGGGGCATAAACAATGTTAAATTCAAATAACGGATCACAGGTGGCCCATTTGTTATAGTTCAGTGTGTAGAGATGCGTCAAGAGATGCGATGGCAAATCAGAAACATATACGATTGTGTTCGAATCCCATCAGCCCGATTATGTTTCAAGATTTGTCCATACCCATGGGCTTTGCTTCACCTAAATCGTTAACATGTAAGAACGTCTCCATTTTGGTATTTCCTCCCACCTGGAACTGTCGCACCGTGGAATATGTGAAAAAATGGTAAAAGCAGCGTTAAACTCAACTCACTCACTCACTCACTCACTGACTATAACGAACAATCGTGTCAACGCTGGTCCGTGTGAACCAAAACATCACTCACTCAAACACCCATTCACACAGCGTCCTCCCATTCCCACACACCCATCCGTCCATTCCCTCCTCACTCACTCACTCACTCAGTAACGATCTGTCAACACCAACTGATTCTGATGATTGACCTCATTTCTAACGTAATTAATTTTAACATGCGTTGTTATTATAATTATCAATGTATCACCCATTCCATGACGTTTCCCTTTAATATTGCTATTCTCCACCCACAGAGATATGTTGGACGACCGTTTTCATAAAGTCGTTGACATTAAACCAGTCAAAGTAAAGAAAGGGGATCAGCCCCCTTCGCCACTATTCGGCAAATTCCGGGCATGGTCGTTTGAAGAATACGACACGATTGTCTACCTTCATTCTGACACTTTGGTGAGTAACACTCTGTAGACCCGTGTCGGAATAAACAGAATTCTTCCACTGCATTAAAGATTCATGTATTCTGACAGGATTTATATAGAATTCTACCATGATAATGTTATATTCTAGACAACGCCAACCTTTTTGAAATAAACACCATTCTTCAGATGCATTTTAGAACCCCGCATTTTAATTGGAATAAAATTTCGTATTTTGTAAGTAAGTAATCGTGGAAGTGACTGGTCTTTGGATGAAAAAAACTATACTGAGGGAAAAAAAAGAGATCACATGAAAGGACAAGAGATCCCTTATTTTTTCCCTCAGTATATTATTTATTGCTAATCAGACATCTAAAATAGCGTTGTAAATATACTCATGGAAACAAATAAGGGAACACATGAAAGTACAAGTGTTCCTTATTATTCTTTCCAGGTTTCTTCACAAGGTATGTATTGCACTGTGGGTGAAACTTTGGAAATAAATAAAGGAACACTTGTACTTTCGTGTGTTCCCTTATTTGTTTCCATGAGTATATAACTGCGTAAACGGTTTTACTTCCAAAAACCCCCACTAAAGTCAATTCTTAATTAAGTGAAGTGGTAAAGTTAAGATGCTAAATAATGCACTGAATAACCCGCTTTTAGTACCAATATACGTAGAGTGCACGTGTTTTGTTTGTTTGTTGTTTAACGCCGCAACATTCCAGCATTATGGCGGCAGTCTGTAAACATTCGTGTCTGGATCAGACAATCCAGTGATCAACAGCACAAGCATCGATCTGCATAATTGGTATACGATGACATATGTCAACCAAATCAGAGTGTACATGTAATTGTTTCAGGTATTGAGTAACGTGGACGAGTTGTTTCACTACCCAGAGTTATCGGCCGTGGCGGAAGGGACTTGGACTGATCACTTCAATTCTGGGGTCATGGTCATTAAGCCGTCCGTTGAGAGATTTAAGTCGCTTCGGAACATGGCCAAAACGGAACAAAGCTTCGATGGTAAAATGTTTCATTGCTCTACTTATGGTTGCAGTTTTACACAGAATCAAATCAGATAAAAGGGACAGTAGACAATTGGCATGGCATTTTCTGGAAAATGTCGCTCGAGTTCTGATCCGGGGCGGTGGGGTAGCCTAGTGGTTAAAGCGTTGGCTCGTCACGCCGAAGGCCCAAGGTTCAAATCCCTACATGAGTGCAATGTGTGAAGCCCATTTCTGGTGTCCCCCACCCCCACCCCTCCGTGATGTTGCTGGAATATTGCTAAAAGCGGCGTAAAACGAAACTCAGTCGAGTTCTGATCCAAATTTGGTCAAATAATAATGACCTTCACCTTGTACTGAAATTACCTCGGGATAGAACATGGTTCTTGTAACATACACATTATTTACTCCCTACTTGAAATAAATTCATATATCAGATTTAAACGAAAGCATGATGTAGCCAGGGATTTCTTTCAGCCTGCACACGCCTTTCTCAAGTATCTGGCGCATGTCTCTCGTTACCTGTCTCTATACCTGAACTATAATTTGAATCCAGTTGAGCTATCTTCTTGCAAAGCTTTTGTGTAGAACGTATCGTATTCTCTTCTAGCCACTCTACATGTACAAAGAAGCACGTAAACGGTTTAGGGATTTAATTAGCTGCAGTTGTTTACATTTCGTGAAGATCCTATGAACAACTAAGTGATCCTCCTTTTTCTGATCAATGTTTACATTAAAATCTGTTGTTAATTTTGGTATAATATTGGGTCAGGATATATCATATATCTCAAGGCCATGGGATAACGCCTGGGAACTAATTCGTGGATCTTCATGAGATCTTCATCAGGCTTTACGATAATACCCGAAGGCAATGAGATACTAACGGGAGGCTATGGGATATTACCGGGAGGCTATAAGATATTACCCTGAAACTATGAGATAATACACAGAGGCAATGGGATACAACCTGGAGATCTATTAGATACTACTTGAAAGCTACAAAGTACTGCATTGATGCTATGGGGTAATACTTGGAGGCTCTGGGATACTACCAAGAGGCTTTGAGATACTGCTTGAAAGCTATAAGACACTACTCTGCGGTCATGCCATAATACTTGGATGGTATGGGATAGTAGGCAGAGTCTATGCGATAATACCTAGACTTCTATGAGCTTCTACGTGGAAGCAAGGAGATAATACATCGAGATACTGCCTGGATTCTGTGAGAGACAAACTGGAATAGAGATAATGCCCCGTAGATATGAATTTGAGATAATACCCGTAGGCAATGAAATATTATCTGGAGACAATGAGATGATACCTGGAAACTTGATTTTACACCTCCATCTTACTGTCCCTGGACATGAACATTTAATAGTGTATGTGAAACATTCGATTTCATTCTGTGCAATATTATCTTCAAATACTCAAACGATCCACATGTCCACTATTTTCAGACACGGATCAAGGCACGTTGAACATGTATTTCTCGGTATGGCATCGACTGTCCTGTATATACAACACTGCAGGCGACTCACCAGAGACAGCTGTTGGGGCTTATAACAGGTAACGGCGTAATGCTACGTCTTTGTTACGAAGTGTGGCTGTAAAGCTCTGAACCTAACAACGAAGGACGTATGATACACCCTTAGCGCGCGTGTATTAAGTGCAATGTTCTATGTTTGTAGGGGCGGTGGGGTAGCTTAGTGGTTAAAGCGTTGGCTCGTCACGCCGAAGACCCGGGTTCGATTCCCCACATGGGTACAATGTGTGAAGCCCATTTCTGGTGTCCCCCGTCGTGATATTGCTGGAATATTGCTAAAAGCGTCGTAAAACCATACTCACTCACTCACTCACTCACTCTATGTTTGTAGCGTGCATTTGAAAACAATTACACAACCAGCTAGCATATATCTGCCGGTACATGGTGACAATGAGGAGGAAATTATAAATATTGGCTGCTACACTGACTGAGAACCTCAAACTGAAAGGTACAACTCCAGCACTCCTCAATGTCATCGACTTTATAGGATGATGGGATGACAGATCCTAGAATGTTAGGATTTAACTTTTGTTTATTAAAACGGTCGAATGGGGAATTATCAAATACACCGTCTGCCAGCTTCTTCTTTCTCGATATTCCATCCAGAAGAAACTTTACTATTGTGATTACACGCTACTGTTTTATCCAAACATATGTTAAAAAACTGAGAACGAGTTATCCTAAATTCGGCTTTTGTTGCGTAAAATATTGTGATAATATGTGCTATGGATTGTATTAGGTTCGGCCACAGAGTGAAGATTGTACGTTTCAACACTGAAATGAAGCCTTGGCTTGTGTCCTACAACCTGGAAGCTAAACAGACCGAGATGTACGCTGGGGAACTCGGCCTCATCCCTGTCCCCAGACCCTTCTATGAGCGATGGTGGCGGGTGTTCATGGCATCAGTCAGGCCGCACCTTGACGTAAGTTATCACAGACCGAGATAGGACTCAAACCTCTACCCAGACCCTTCTATGAGCGATGGTGGCGGGTGTTCGTGGCATCAGTCAGGCCGCACCTTGACGTAAGTTATCACAGACCGAGCTGGGTCTTGTCTCCTTCCCAGACCCTTCTATGAGCGATGGTGGCGGGTGTTCATGGCATCAGTCAGGCCGCACCTTGACGTAAGTTATCACAGACCGAGATGGGACTATCAGTCAGACCCGCACCTTGACGTAAGTTTCACAGACCGGGTCTTGTCATCCTTACACCGAGGTGGGTCTCAATCCCTTCCCAGACCCTTCTATGAGCGATGGTGGCGGGTGTTCATGGCATCAGTCAGGCCGCACCTTGACGTAAGTTATCACAGACCGAGATAGGACTCAAACCTCTACCCAGACCCTTGTATGAGCCTTGGTTGCGGGTGTTCGTGCCTTTATAGTCAGACTTCATCTTGACATAAATAAGTACACACCAAGGTTGGATCCAATCCTTTATCCAAACCCTTCTATGAGCGATAGGGGCGGGTGTTCATGGCATCAGTCAGACCTAACCTTGACGTAAGTTATCACAGACCGAAATGGCATCACCTCTGGCCCTGGTCAGACCTCAGCTGAACTCGGCATTATTTTCTCTCTATTAAGTGACGGCTGTCCAGGTCTGTTTTCACATTATATTTACAATATTTATAATATTAGTGTAAGCTAATGTCGCATATGGTAAATTCACAAAATAAATTATTGGGTTATATGATACCTAGGCCCAACCAAATACAATGTCTCAGACAAAATGTGTCTGAACAGACCTGTAGTATTTGTCTACATGTTTACCCAATGCATATATCAAGCTTTCTGCTTCTTTGTCCTCGTGTTGACCTGTTGCATCTACCAATAACTTAGCTTCTTTGTCCTCGTGCTAACGCTGTTAACATAGCATGGTAACCCTAGAGGTAGGTAATAAGGAGACGGGCCTGTTCAGTGAATGGCTATATGTAAATCCAGTTTATGAGACAGCCCCATTTATACAGTGACAGCGTTGATGGTGTAAGGTGTCAGTTACGCCGGGAACAAACCAACGTTAAAGGCTGGAATGTTGACCTTGACCACGGTGAGACGCGAAAGCCGAATTCAAAGGCTATGTTTGAACATTAGTGTATGTAATGTATTTTGACATGCATTACCATATGTCTTACAAATATGTATTGCAGTAGATTTTATCGCCGAGGGATCGTTTCACAAGATAGTTTCTGTAACAGGTCTGCGTTTGTCAGGGTGGAATGGCAATGGGATGCGAAGAGCGTGGGTTTTGAGTTCTAGAGAGCCCGAAAGACAAATAAAACATAGAAACTAAAAAGCATTATATTAAGTCTAATATATATTTGAAGGTATATTAAGTCTACATACGCATCAGAAGCTTTATATGTTGTCAAAGGGTAGAGGCTTGAGCAAAATTCAGTGCGAAACTACATGGTGAGAAAAACAAAAACAAAAAACCCAAAAGATAAAGAATCAGCATGGAAAAACAGGTCTTCGGCCCCCCACGGTCTGATGGCCTTAACATAGAGCGGGTTATATAATGCTACTGGCAAATAACTATTGAGTGTACCTTTGAAACACAACAACAACGGGGCGGTGGGGTAGCCTAGTGGTTAAAGCGTTGGCTCGTCACGCAGAAGACCCGAGTTCGATTCCCCAAATGAGCACAATGTGTGAAGCCCATTTCTGGTGTCCCCCGTCGTGATATTGCTGGAATATTGCTAAAAGCGGCGTAAAACCATACTCACTCACTCACAACAACAACATTATCGCCAACAAACACACAAACAAACGTCTGAAGATATATGCTAAGATATGGAAGAGCTGGGATCGCTTTGTAGAACGGGACCCAGTTCCCATCCCCGAGGGATGATTTATGAGGTGCGCATTGTCGTCGCAGTGTATTTACCCCAGCAGAAACAAAAAACCTTTGTGCTTTTGTAAGCAAGGTGAAAACACAGTTGGATTCAGATTGCATAGAGATGCTAACCCGCGTCCATTGGTTAACTCGAGTTCACTCGAGTCAGTGAGTTAAAGGTAATGTCACATAAGAGAATAAATGTAGAGGTAATTAGATCACGGCCAGCTTATAGATGTACCTGTGTTTACATGATGTCCTTTGAGGTTGCCACGGAATGTACTCTTTCAGTATGTGCAACTGTCGTCTTGATTATTTGATTTGGACAATTACATGTACCTGTTTTCACACTGGAATTTGCCTTTTTTTAAAAAAAGATTAATGTGGACTATGATGACATGAACATAAAGTTATTGAAGGACACATGTAAAAGATGTCAGATTGCCAAGATAACCTCTGCTTCCTTACCCCAGCCTCAATTCCATAAACAGAGAGGCTCTCTTGAAGGACACATGTAAAAGATGTCAGATTGCCAAGATAACCTCTGCTTCCTTACCCCAGCCTCAATTCCATAAACAGAGAGGCTCTCTTGAAGTACATATTAAAAGTTGTCACATTGTCAAGTTGACCTCTGCTTCCCTACCCTAGCCTCACGTCCATAAACCGAGAGGCTCTCTTGAAGGACACAATTGTGTAAAAGTTGTCACATTGTCAAGTTGACCTCTGCTTCCCTACCCCAACCTCACGTCCATAAACCGAGAGGCTCTCTTGAAGGACACAATTGTGTAAAAGTTGTCACAATGTCAAGTTGACCTCTGCTTCCCTACCCCAGCCTCACGTCCATAAACCGAGAGGCTCTCTTGAAGGACACAATTGTGTAAAAGTTGTCACATTGTCAAGTTGACCTCTGCTTCCCTACCCCAGTCTCACGTCCATAAACCGAGAGGCTCTCTTGAAGGACACAATTGTGTAAAAGTTGTCACATTGTCAAGTTGACCTCTGCTTCCCTACCCCAGCCTCACGTCCATAAACCGAGAGGCTCTCTTGAAGGACACAATTGTGTAAAAGTTGTCACATTGTCAAGTTGAGTTCTGCTTTCCTACCCCACCCTCACGACCATGAATAGTGAGACTCTCTTAATAAGAAAGTTGAATTAACATGTAGGATAACCATTCAGGTTAACATGAAAGAAAGTGAAAACTATTTGGGTCGACACACCTTCAGTTGCAATGTTAATGTAAGCAAAGTGTATACGTTATACAGTTACCGAACAGCCAGCATAGAACGTATACAGTATGAGTCAAGAACAGGAAACAATAAACAACAGTAAACAATATTCTCCCCAGCCGTAATGATACAACAGCGCTCCACGTTTGAATGGTTTTGTATGTGATCCAAAAAATGTTTATATTCAAAAGCACTCAATACACTTTTCCCAGTTGCTGTTTACAAAAGGTTGTCAAACCGGGTGTTCATACGTAATCGTTATATCCATGTTATCGTATTCTATCAGTGTCTTAACGAGATGCTAATACCATTGGTAAGGTATGTTACCCATGACTGGTCATGTATGATGGAGACATAGGGTTTCTACGTCCGTATTCAAGATCCGCGTTTCCAGACGGTTGGAATCCAGGAAGTTGACCCACCCTTTTTGTCGTGTCAGCCAATCACAGGCCAGCTTTCGGGTATCTATGTGAAGGCATGTCGCCATGAAATCGATTGTACACTGATCCTTTGACCTGAGAAATAATCGTGTGGCCCTTTTAGAATGCTCCTGTGTGATGTAGAGGTATAGAGAAATACATATAGATTCTTCTTGACCTACTTATCACGTGGGGCGGTGAGGTAGCCTAGTGGTTAAAGCGTTGGCTCGTCGAGCCGAAGGCCCGCGTTCGATTCCCAACATGGGCACAATGTGTGTAGTCCATTTCATGTGTCCCCCGCCGTGATATTGCTGGAATATTGCTAAAAGCGGCGTAAAACCGTTCACTCACTCGTTCACTACTTATCATGTTTGCTTACCATGTCCTCGTATAACAAGTAAAACGTTGCACAACCCTTTTACTCGGCACTGCCGTTTTCCTTATTTCTAGTGCAGCTTCTTTTAGTGAGTGAGTATGGTCTTACGCCGCTGTTAGCAATATTCCAGCAATATCATAGCGGAGGAAACCAGTAATGGATTTAACACATTGTACCATGTGGGGAATAGAACCTGGGTCTTCAGCGCGACGAGCGGACGATTAAACCATTCAGCTTAAGCCACTGCCCTCAACTGTTTAAACAGTTTTAATATACCAATAAACGCGATATTATAATTATTGAATTATAGTATTAGTTGTACATTTTATTTAACTAGCAACATTTTCTACTCACTGAAGAGTAGGGTACGCCTGTTCGAAAATGAACTGACATGTGTGTTGAAGGTGTTGGAGAGTTTTGGATGTAAAAGACAGGAATTCACTGGCCGTTCACAGGCTCCATTTAAACCCAAAAAAATCCCGGCCACGACTATTGACATTATGCAAAAGTAAACATGAATTTTATACCAATGATAATAGAAAGTGGGGAAACCATGGGTACAGATTGTTATATGATTTCATCCCCAATAATTACAGTAACTGTTGATGTTAGATCCGGTCTGTTTGATAACCATGTGGCTATAGTCTGAACAAAAATGAAACCTTTAACCTCTGAAAAGACGTTATGTCGTATTAGCACTCTTCAAATAACGTCTTTAAAGCTTTCCGGGAACTTTGAAAATCCCCACCATCCATATGGTAACTATAGTGTATATGCTGACTATAGTCGTACCATTATCACCGTGCCTGAGATCTGCTTTTAAAGCATAATTATTAAGGGAAACTATTCATTTGTGTTCAACATGTGCATGACATATTTTTCAGAAGGTTCTTAGAAATCACAACATGGCAATCGTTCAGGATGGACCTCGGATATTTTTAGGTAAGCGACAATCTGCGTTTACATCTTGCTGTATACGATGTCATTTATTCATCATTTACCGTCAGTTCCTATGTGTGGTTTAAAGACGAGGCAATACATATCTGGTCACAGTGACGCAGTTTACATCTGTCCGTGATCTCTGTCCACTTCCCTTCTACGGTTGTTTCGCTCTCTAGTAGATCTGACTTCAAACTAGAATTGTGTTTGTGTTGGATATGAAAGGTATATAGTTTACGAAAGACCAGTTCATTTTAAGAATCTGACATTACAGAACATCGTGTTTTACAAACGGTACTAATGGCTTCCTTTGACGTTCCGGATATTGAATTCTACCAAGTACCGCGTTAATCTATCATCTACAATAATCTATCACCGTGGTTGTCGATCAGATTCCATTATTAATTTTATTGATACGTTATTGATGGTATTGATACTTTATTGATTGCATTGATACTTTATTCGTTGCATTGATACGAGATTGATTGTATTCTTAATGTATTGATACTTTAGTAACTGTATTGATCCGTTGTTAATTGTACTGATTGATTTTAGATACCATACGATGAGGGATGTCCAGTCGGCACCTGATGCCGTAAGCGTGGGCTTCACAACGCTCAACTTATGTCTCGAATGCCTAAACATGATTTGATGGGATGATGTCTTTGCCCTTATTCAAAGTATTTCATTTCAGTTATGTCATTTATGTTATTTTCGTAGGTGATCGCTACACGGGTCTTCATGTCCAAGCGAACTTCTTCGTATTGCATGACAAGTCGTACCCCAAGTTCCTCAATGTTCAAGGCAAGGCGATCAACAACCAGTATTGTACCAAGTTAGACGTCTTCTTCTTTGACCAGGGCGCTTTCGATGTCAGAGGATAGTCCCAAATAAATTTGTATTTCATTTCGTACACATTTTAATTCAAATTTATATGTTCAACATCTCTGAGCTGAGCAGAATTATGATTTATTATTATAAGACATTGCACAAGTTTCAACTTAAAACGTCCTGAAGACTTGAGGCTTTACATGGATTTTAGATTGTGAGAGTAACATTTGTTACAGGTAGTGCAGAACATGCTTACCCTTTTCACGACTTTCCGTGATCCATTCATATAATTTCTTTTTTTATATATTTTGCTATTTTTTAAATTCTGATTTGACGCCTTTTCGATACCAGTTGTTCTCTTGCGAAAACACATATACTATATCAGATGTCAGTTAATGTTGATTTCATTATACGGGTATCTCGTGTATTGTGGTTTCCACAAAATGAACTGCGGGATGACCCAAGGAAAGTTTTGCTGATAACTGTGCATGTTGCTAAACGAAAAGGTGAATGTACGATTAGGAAATCAAAATCCCTTTATAGTTCAGCCTGCAACATAAGCTATCTTCATTACACATGATCTTTGTACAGATCCAAGGCACATGTTTTGTACATGTTTTCCCAGTTGTTTCCTCGTGTTTAAAACCTAAAAATCTCAAGAACAGATGAGGTGAAATCAGTCACCTACCTTGCCATTGTTGAGAGAATATGAGATCGTCTATACCTGAAACTGACTTGAACATTTTTTTGTAAAGGGCCCTTTTTTGGCTTGGCTAAACAGTTAGTGAGTTAGTTGAAAGGTAACGTCGTATCGGCCTTATTTCAGCCATATAGCACGAGACCAAGTTTATACTTGTAATGAAAAACTTTATGAAAAAAGAGAAAGACCAACCAAACAGAATTTCTTAAACAAAGCAATAACTAAGTTAGAAACTGATGGTGGATATTATCTACTATTTTCAAACTTTATATACCAGTAAACATGTCACAGATGTCGATCTAGAATTCTTATTCAATGATAGTGAATACATAGATTATCTGACAACAACGCTCATGCTCTTGAAGGGGAATTGCAATACGATGACAAATGTGAACAATGAAAAAAGCCCTGGTCCATCTGGTTTTACAGCTGAATTCTATAAATTATTTTGGAAGGATATCAATAAATACATAATCAATTCTTTAAATGAAGCATATAGGAGGGGTCAAAAACGAGGTCTCATAACATGCATCCCGAAAAGAGATAAATCTAAGGAACATTTGAAAATGTTCAGACCTATTTCACCATTAACATATAAACTAGCCTCAGCCGTGATATCAGCACGTATTAAAAACATACTTCCCAACATAATAAGTGAAGATCAAAAGGAAGATACATTGGAGAATGTACAAGACTGGTTAACGACATTATGGATTATACAGAATATATGAATAAACCAGGACTTTTGATACTTATAGACTTCGAAAAAGCTTTTGATTCGGTGGAATGGTCCTTTATCAAGAAATGTCTTGACTTCTTTAATTTCGAACCATCTATCAAAATTTGGCTAAAAATATTCTACAATAACATAAACTCTAGTGTTCTTGTAAACGGGTTTCCATCGGAGTTCATCCAAATTACACGGGGTTGTAGACAAGGTGATCCCCTCTCGCCGTATATATTCTTCATAGCAGCAGAAATCCTGGCCAACATGTTACGACAAAACAAAAGATGAAAGGAATAACGATGATTGATTTAGAATACCTACTTACTCAGTTTGCCGATGATACAACTATAATTTTAGACGGGTCTGAACGCTCATTTAGGGAAACATTACAAGTACTTGAAACATACGTATCATTCTCTGAACTCAAAATAAATATTGACAAGACTGAAGTTATTGGATAGGTTCGAAACAATATTCAAGTTTGCAACACTGCAGAAAATACAACCTTGACTGGACTCAAAAACCCTTTGTACTATCAGTATTATAACGATAAACTAAAAAATGACAAAGTAATGAAAATGTGGACTCTGAGAGACCTTACACCTTTAGGTAGAATAACTATTTTAAAGAGTTTGATTTTACCAACACTTAATCATCTTTTCACCTCGCTAGCAAACCCTAAATTAGAAGCGATAGTGAATCTTCAAAAGAAATGGTTCTCCTTTATTTGGAAAGGTAAACCTGATAGAATAAAACGATGTCTGATAACAAAAACATACCGAGAAGGTGGTCTAAAAGTACCAGCTATACTTGAAACAATTAAGTCCCAGGAAATATCATGGATCAGAAGATTATTCGTTCATGACTCAAAATTAAATAATCTTTTATATACTTCACAACCAGTGAGCAAACTAAAACACATAGAAATGGGACCATTGTATCTGAAGACACATTATATTCCAAAACTTGAAGCCTAGTCTGAATTACAAGGACAAAGTATATATGAAAATGGCCATCTCAGCAGACAGTACATATGGGCCAATGATAACATAACAAAAGTATATAAACCAGTAGTATATGACCAATTCCTACAATCCAATGTAAAATTTATAAATGAATTCCTAAAAGATGACAGCACATTTATTTCTTATAAAGAATTCGTAGAACTGTATGGGGTTAAAACAAATAACGGCTGCCATGTAGCTGGAATATTGCTGAGTGCGGGGTAAAACCAGGGATAATCTACAGCACGTCTTCTATTCTCCCTGGTAAAGCTAAACTCACACTTATAAATACAATGGGTCTTTCATTTTTAACATTCTTCACACATTTTAACACTAACATTATTTACAATTTACAGTAATTGACAGCATCACACACAAAACAATGCAATTAGTAACATTCATATCTACAATTTCATTTTAAGCAGTCAATAATGAAATGCACGCTCACACGAGTAAACAGATCCTTCAGATTTACTGTTTGATGATATGAAATCCTTGCAATTGGCCTCATCTGCTTTAAGTGGATATTCGTGAGTAAACCACTCTGGCTAATACACAAATTACATACGGGTTTGGCACAGCCGTAAGGTAACCCACTACTAAATTTGACAAATATAAAGCATGTAAAGAGCACATAAAGATGTCATTTTGTGTTATTACCTTTTAACATTATGAATGTCTGTATGGAGAGTGTTCCCTTGCAGTATGCAGTAGTTTCCCGACGGGAGACCACGAAGGATTCAGTACATGCGTTTACGCGGATGATTACTTTCTGATGCAATACACTTACAGTGAATATGTTTTGTTGAGTTCTAGCTTTGTCGTTACAACTTTAGCACAACATGTGAGTCGATGGCGTGCGGAGTAAGCAAATTGCATGTGATGCAAGAGAAGTGACTTCAATTGTCTAAACGCCAGCGTTACCTGTGTGCTGTGTGTCCCGCAATATTCCAACAGCTCCATTGTTTAGTGTTTACATTTCACAGGTCTTTCAACCAAGATTTCAATGATCGTCATACGACTCTTGCTATATTCAAAAGTTGTCAAAGGGTTTTGTGGTATTCACGTAGGGACATTACATCTAGAGATCAGTGACAAAATCGGTGTCCGAAAGAATTCCCTATTTTGACGTGCAATATTACCCCGTGTGATTTTTCAGGGTAACAATTGACTTGCATTTGCATGTGTTTGTGACATGTGCAACCGATTGGACAGGATACGCTTCCACCTGGTGTTGTCACTATCTGATAGTGATTCACACGGCAGTTGAAATCGTACTATGGACATGTGGATTTTATAGCATCACTTTCACTTTTATATAACTAATATTTCAGAGGGGAAGGCATTGCTTTTGAAAAAAACTGTGTAGGAAGGTAACGGAGTCAACAATAATAGGCGGTCTAAATAGAATTATTTAGACGTGTTTCTTCACAGCAATCGAAATGTTTGTTTTTGTTCCGAGGTTTAGCCCTATAGATGCCATTTTGACAGACGACCGAGAGAAACACTTACATGTTTACAGCGCGGAATTGTGGGAAAAAATTAGGGGAATCCCCGGATTTAATGAAAATATTTACATTAGGACGTCATTAGATAATGATACGCTAATAAGTGTTTGATACAACCGTTTTTAATGATGCCATTAACTAATGATGCATTAAGGAATTAATGTATCATTAGGGTTTAATGTTGACATTAGTTAATGAAGCAATGATACAACCGGATCCAGGGCACTTATTCTCAAAACGTTCGTAGCCCTAAGAATTCTTTACTTTGATCGTAGCCAATGTGTTAAGAATGGGCTTAAGAAGTTCGTAGGGCTACGAGCGTTTCGAGAATAGCTAGCCAGGTATTCAGACTCGGTTACGTTGCTGATTGCGATTGTTGTGTAACGCCGCACTCTGCAATATTCCAGCTTTATAGTGGCGGTTTGTAAATATTGGAGTCTGGACCAGACAATCCGGTGATCAACGTCCTGAGCATCGATCTAATGATTGGGTTGTATCGATTGGCCGTGATATAATAGCCGCCTTCGTATAGCTGGAACACTCCTTTGTACAGAATACACACACATACGCACGCGCGCGCATTCACACACGCATTCACACAGGAACACAACACCATATACCACGCTCCAATAGCACAGAGGACTTTAATTTGACCCGTGAAGATCCGGGTTAGAACATTGATCATCGGTTCCCAAATTGCGTGGATCGATGCTCATGGTGTTGATCACTGGATTGTCTGGTCCAGACTCGATTACTTACAGACCGCCGCCATATAGCTGTAATATTGCTGAGCGCTGCGTAAAACTAAACTCACTCACTCACTCGCCCACTTTATATTGACAGTCGTTGTTGTGTCTTCACACTGATGTCAGTGTAACGTATATTTAAAAAATATAATATATATAACCATTTGAACTGTGTGCTGTCGTGTGTACAATTCTTCCTTCAGTGTAAAAAATTACATTCATATGTAATGATTTGTACACATACCTTTTTCTAAACAGTTAATGTGTCAATTAACGGTTTAGAAGTAATACGATAACAAAACAAATATACGGATCTTACAAGAAATTGAGAAACTTATTGAACGTTATAGCAAACTGTTTTGTGGAGGAGAAGGTTGTTGATATACCATAGCAGTGTCTTTATCGTGGGCACTATCAACAAACACCCGTTCCTGTTAACATGCATCAACCACCGAGTAAACACAGGTGTCTTCAAGAAGGAGAGATCTGCACACAGCATGCAGTCACGCAAACAATGCATATCATACGGGTGATCTAATGCACTCGCATTTTTTCTTCCTTTTCGTGGTGTTGTTTCGTGGAGTTCCGTAGCGACGAATAACACAAATGTGACATTTGATAACTGATATATATTACATCACCAATGACCTTATGTGCATAAGTGATTTCCAAGTGGGAGAGATAGAAAACGAGGGATGTGTGAGGGTGTCCGTACCAGTGTGAAGGTGTCTGTACCAGTGTGAGGGTGTCTGTACCTGTGTATCACCAACATGGGAAGAGGGACACAGAGGCGGATAGATAGAGAGACACCAAAGTGGGAAGAGAGACACAGAGGCGGATAGATAGAGAGACACCAAAGTGGGAAGAGGGACACAGAGGCGGATAGATAGAGAGACGGGAAGAGGGACACAGAGGCGGATAGATGAGAGAGACACCAAGGTGGGAAGAGAGGACACAGAGGCGGATAGATAGAGAGACACCAAGGTGGGAAGAGGGACACAGAGGCGGATAGATAGAGAGACACCAAGGTGGGAAGAGGGACACAGAGGCGGATAGATAGAGACACACCAAGGTGGGAAGAGGGACACAGAGGCGGATAGATAGAGAGACACCAAAGTGGGAAGAGGGACACAGAGGCGGATAGATAGAGAGACACCAAGGTGGGAAGAGGGACACAGAGACGGATAGATAGAGAGACACCAAAGTGGGAAGAGAGGACACAGAGGCGGATAGATAGAGACACACACCAAGAGGGAAGAGGGACACAGAGACGGATAGATAGAGACACACCAAAGTGGGAAGAGGGACACAGAGACGGATAGATAGAGACACCAAAGTGGGAAGAGGGACACAGAGGCGGATAGATAGAGAGACACCAAAGTGGGAAGAGGGACACAGAGGCGGATAGATAGAGACACACCAAAGTGGGAAGAGGGACACAGAGGCGGATAGATAGAGACACACCAAGGTGGGAAGAGGGACACAGAGGCGGATAGATAGAGACACACCAAAGTGGGAAGAGGGACACAGAGGCGGATAGATAGAGACACACCAAGATGGGAAGAGGGACACAGAGGCGGATAGATAGACACCAAAGTGG